GTGCACAGGAGCTCAGTCATGCTGGAACAGGAAAGGCTCTTCCCCAAACTGCTGACACAAAGCTGGAAGCAGAGAACTGTGTAAAATGTCTTTGTGCTGCAGCACCAACATCACCCTTCACTGGAACTGAGAGCCCAAACCCTGAAAAACAGCCCCGCCCATCATCCCTCCTCCACCAAACTTGGATTCCGGTAGGTAACGTTCTCCTGGCATCCACCAAACCCAGATTCATCATCAGACTGACTGATAGTGAAGCTGATTCATCACTCCAGAGAACACGTTTCCACTGATCCAGAGTCCAGTGGGGGCGCTTTACACCACTCCAGCCGACGCTTGGCATTGCGCATATTGATCTTAGGCTTGTGTGCAGCTGCTCGGTCACTGAAACCCATTTCATGAAGCCCCTGATGTACAGTTTTTGTGCTGATGTTGCTTCAAGAGGCAGTTTGGGACTCTAATGAGTGATTTAACTGAGGATAAGAGATTTTTTACGGTACTCGGCAGCCTGGCTTTGTGAGTTTGGGTGGCCTACTGTTTCACGTCTGAGCTGTTGTTGCTCCATTTCACAATAATAGCACTTACAATTCACTGGAGCAGGTCTGACTTGTGGCAGAGGTGGCATCCTATGACAGTGCCACGTTTAAAGCCTCTGAGCTCTTCAGTTCGACCCATTCTACTGCCAGTGTTTGTCAATGGAGACTACATGGCTATCGAAAATAATAGTTATATTTACTTTACTCTTTCAGAGCACCTGGTTTCCAAGATTCCTTTAATTAAAATGAACTTATCAAATAATACAGAGTAACTTTTAGCAACCTCAAACACCTGAGCTCAGTAATCAGGAGTCGTGTCCATATTGCTTTTGTCTATATACTGTATCGGTACATCTACCTTGTATAGCCATATAGACGTGTAAATTCACACAGATGCACATCCACAGATGAAACCAGGATCCTGTGTGCTATGAAGTTCAGTATTCAGCAGACAAATAGAACAAGGTAACACTAGTGAACTGAACCACATGCAGCACTGACGTGTGTTACTTGTTGATGGCATGAGGAAAGAGATTTGTGAATCGGGGAGGAGGTGATTAATATCAGATTAACACTGTAGTGAAAGGAAAATAAACTCACAACTAAAGACAGACAGACATTTACATAATGTTAGCAATTTTACAGCCTTTTACAAAGTATTCTAACATAAAAACACTAAATTCTGGTTGGTTAGTTTGTTGTTCGTTGGTTATTTGTCACTTTAAACTTTGTGTAAAGTCTGTTTTACAGTGTAAACCTCATAAACGTGTCAGCCTGATAGTGTCACAGTCATTCCACACATTCTGTGTTTCTGGCTCTGCAGCTTTAGTGGATCAAACTGGCTCTAAACTCACTGGCAGTGAGCGCATCCTAATCACAGCACTGCTCAGAGACAGTGTCCCTCACACTGCCTCTCACAGGGTCTACATGTTCAGTATTAACCAGGTTACTGTGTGGAACCGGCTCTAAAGAACGGGGGGACATATTTAGGCTAACATGATGGTAAATTCCAAGACAGCCCAACTAAATTCCTGACAATTTCTAGATATTGAACCAACTAAGGGCATAAACATCTCATAATTGGTGAAGGATCTGCTGTATTATATGCTTTATGTGTAATATTATGTTCAGTATCATGTGTTATAATATGTATTTGATCTGTGTATGTTTAATGTAAGCTATACCTGAAAGGATCGGATGTTGGAGGAAAGCTATGTCTATATCATGACATATTGTGTATCATAAAAACTTGAATTATTATGATATTATATTATATATTATGATATATTTTGCCCTATAGCCCAGTTCTCCCAGTAAAAGGAACAATTATTGCTTTCTTTTACTGTACAGATTCAGTTTCAGTTCTAGGTAACAGACAGGTACATGCTGTGTCATGTTTTGAAGTGTGTTTGTTTACTTTCCCACTTAAGCGTGTGGCTTTGCAGTTACATTTGATGCCAGTTTGTTTGCAATCCAAATGTTAAAAAGAGCCGTTTCTCCTTTTATTAAAAATCAAACGACCTTGGAAGCCACAACGTTTTGTGTCCATTTTACCATCTTGGCTGTATATATGTCTTGGTATGTGCTGATGCACTAGTAAAGGCTAAAATGTATATGACATAAACGAAAACACAGACTGACTTTGCTCTGCTTTAAGCTTTAGCTCAGCTATAGCTGCTTTTCTCGCATCTCCAGCAGGAAACTTTGCCTCAAAAGTAGAACAGTTTCTTGTAAAATGTCTCTCAATGTTTGACTTTTTATGAGGCTGAAGTTGCTTCTCATTCACCAGCTTCTTGTTCTAATTCTCCCGTTCCACCTTAAATGGTGCCTGAGGTGCCAGAATGTAACTGCAGCACCATTTAAGGTGGAACGGGACAATTTGAACGAGAAGCTGGTGAATGAGAAACTGACTTCAGCTTTGTAACTTTTTAGTGTTTCAGTTTCTCGCTGCAGATTAAACGTATCAGGAAACCAGCTGGAATAATTATAAACACAAATAAATCTGTTAATCTCCAAATTATCGATGTTTGTCTTAAATCTCTCTCGCTGCCGTTTCGTTAGCTACTAGCTAGGCGAGATGTTGTCTGTGTTGCTATGGTGACCAGCAGTCTGCGCTGATCTTCAGGGTTAAAGGGTGAATTAGCAGTTCTACATTAACTCCAGAGTTTAAGACCATTTATTGTTAAACTGTGTTGAACGATCAGCAGAGCTTTATTTTACTGTAAAGGAGGATTATTTTATTTTTACCTACTAATCTAATTCAGCTGTGGAGCCGCAACACGGCAGCAGAAGAGCTGCATGAGGCTCTGGAGTCACATGTTGCCGACCGCTGCTCTGCATAATTAGTATTATTGTATTTTACTTTGTCTTTTATTAGCATAAAGTGAAAATTACACCATTTTTCAATCTTCCGAAAGCTCCATTCTAGAGAAACTTACCGAGTCAGAACTGTTCACAGTGGTGGTGATAGGAACCAGACGTCCACCTCTAAAAGCTCCCTCACAGAAAGTTCCTACATGAAATGGTTATGAATTCACTGCCTGATGACTGAGACACTGTTTTATGATAGTTTTGGCCTCTTATGCATCCATTTATGGTGATAGAATACATGCAGGGTGTTATGAGGCGAAACAAAAAACTTGTTTTTTTCAGATGTTCCACTATTTTACCATCAAGTTTTCCAGGAAAACTCCTATAAATACATTTGCGAATGAGGCTAAGCTACAGCTCTGCACCTTTTTAATAAGGCAAGATTTGAACATAACTGGGTTTGCGAAGGTGCCAATGTTAGTAAACCTGCGTGTTTGTTTCCACATTGTTTTGCTGATGTGTTTGTGTTTGTTTTCTGAGCTCAGTTATGAAACGTGTATTTCGTGGGACGTTCTGGTCCGGGTCAGTCAAGCCTGTGGAGAGTACAGGAAGCAGTAACGAACCCCATGCTGATGTTTTTAATGTGAGAATGACTCTGTGTCCTGATCCCAGGGCTATTTTAAGACTTCAGTTTACTCTACAGATGTTCAGCCATGACCTTTTGACCTCCAAGACAACAAGCTAAACATAGAAGAGGTCAAAGGGAGTAGCGCGCTTTTTTCTGTCACTTCCCTTTTACAGTTTTTCATGCTGAACTGTTAGAAGCTAAAATCTGCTGGTGATGTTTGGCCTGTTTCTTTGGAAAGTTGGCAGGTGTTAGAGGGAAACTCCACCCATTTATTAATATTCCCCCATAATTGCCTGTGCGAGGTGTAAACAGAGAGATTCAGAGTGGTTTGGTGTGAAATGGTTCAGATGTCTTTACAGTGGTGGTGATAGGAACCAGGGGTCGCCATGACTACAACACAGATATAGACATTTTATTTACTATCCAAGAAGAAGTAGAAGAAGTTTAATTTGCCTAAAAATGCACAGTTTTATAGATTTCACATAATCAGGATAAAGTAAAAAGGAAATGTTAGACGTGTGCAGAATGATGAACAGAACTGTGGGAGGTTCTAAAGTGACTGAGAAAGCTGGAGAACATCAACATTGCCGTTCTAATACAGTCAATATCCAGAATGCCTAGTAGGGCTGGGCAATATGACAATATATATCATTATCATGATAAATTATGTCTCAATATAATATGCTTTTCTGAACATATTGTGGATATTGTCAGTACTTGTAGACATTGACTGCATTTTTCATTATAGAGAGTCTGTTTAACTGGATTTAGTACCAAATATAATAAAAATGTACAGTTTTTGATCATATTTTTAAATGTAGCAATACTGGCTCTTTTTTCTCTGTTCCAACTGATCAGATTCCTTGAAAAATTAACATTGTGACTTTGTTTATGGTGAAAACGTCTTAAAGTATTGCAATATTATAATATTTGGCATATCGGCCACCTTTTTATTCCTCATATTTTAAAAATGGAGATCAGTTGTTGAGGAAGATAACAGAAGAAATGGGTGTGGATAGATCATTACAGTACAGAATGTACTGTATATAATAATTCGGTCCTTGAAATGTTGAATAAAATATCTAAAATTACCTTTTGTCATCTACTTTATAAGATTCAAATTTATATTGTGCAAGTTATTGTTGTATTTAAAGTAACAATTGCAATTGTTAATATACAAAGTGACTTTAAACACTGAATGGCAGTGTATAAACAACATTCATCTCATTTAATAATAATGATAATACAGATAATAATGATAATAATGATAATAGTTTTAGCATTGAGAGAATAATACTCCTCAGCAGGTTTCTACATCGTCTGTCGTGGTGAAGAGAGTGTTTTATTGCTTTGGGTAATTATTAATAATGACGGTCTGTGTGATTTGAGTGAGTTAATGAACTCAAAGGTCAGGGGTGTCGACGTTAACCAGCCTGAGCACTGAACCGTCTGAGCGCTCACGGCTGCTGACACCTGATACAGGGGAGTGACTGGCCTCTCTGATCTGCTGAACATCTCTGTGTTTGTAGGCCGGGCCATCTGCTGAGTGACGTGGGCGGTCTGAGGGTCTCCCCGGCCCCACGCTAAAGCTGCTTCTCAGAAATGGACGACACCGTGGAGAGTTTGGACACTCGGGAGCTGGACATCGGAGACTATGCGGAGGAAGTGGACTGTGAATCCGGAGAAACAAACCATGCAGGTGAAGATTAACTTCCCCTCATTCTCTGTGCAGCAGCAGTGGCTGCGGTCAGGAGCTGGTCAGGGTTTGGAGAAGCTCTGTTCGGTTGAAGCTGCTGAAGGAAGTGAAAGTGGAGAGTCGATACTGTTCAGTCATTCAGAGTGAAGTGGAGAGAGAGTGTTAAGGGAGTGACAGATCGTGGTGTAGTTTTGGTTTCAGAGGTTTGAGGAATACTATAAAACTGAATATTGTTTATGTTTCACTTTTTTTTCTTTTTTTCTTAATTTTCAGTGTATTCAGCCAGTAGTGTCCTCTGAGAACGTCTGTGCTGGTGTAGCACAACCGTGGGAACAGGTGCAGCCTGAATATGGAAATGGGTGTACCTTAAACAGGGAAATATGTGTAGACCATGGAAACAGTTATAATGTAAAACAGCTGTAGCATAGCCCTGAGACTGAACATAGTGTAACCATAGAAACGTGTAGCATATGACATGGAAATAGGTCTTTCCATATGGAAATGGAAGCAGTGTAACCATGGGCGTAGCGTAACCATAGGAATGGGTGCAGTTCTAGTGTAACAATGGAAGAGGGTATAGACATGGCGTAACCATGGAAATGGGTGTAGACCTAGTGTAACCATGGAAATGAGTGTACTGTAACCATAGTTACCATACTGTAACTATGGAAATGGGTGTAGTGTAAGCATGGAAATTGGTGTAGTTTAACTATAGAAATGGGTGTAGACCTAGTGTAACCATGGTAATGGGTGTGGTGTAACTATGGAAATGGGTGTAGACCTAGTGTAACCATGGAAATGGGTGTAGACCTAATGTAACCATGGAAATGGGTGTAGACCCAGTGTAACCATGGAAATGAATGTAGCATAGCCAAAGAAATGGGTGCAGACCTAGTTTGACACTGTTGCCCATTTGAGCACCTTCCATTCTGTATGTTTCAAAGATGATGGGCGGGTGCAGATACCACAGACGAGCCTCAACATGTCCAGCATAGTCTTTGTTCTCAGGCACACAATATCTGGTGTATTTTCCCAAAGCACCTCTCTTCCTTCTTCCCACACTGCAGCATTACACACTCCGACTTCTGCAACAGGGTGGATACACATGACCGTAAGCGATGACGCAACTGCACTGTGTCTGAATCAGCCAGGTTTAGTCTGCTTTGGAGACGCAGCTAAACAGAAACGCTGTTTCAGCACGAGTGAGTTTTCAGGGGATTGTTTTTTCTAATCACACTGTACCTGTTTGAGGACAGACTCTACAGTCACTCACTATTACGATCTCTCATTAGTGATGCTACACAATCCCGAGCGATTTGGTTCTTTTCGAACACTTGCACTTGTGGCTGAGGTTTCACGTTAAGTTAAATGACCATTGTTAATCCCACAACAGAGAAATTCACCTCTGCATTTAACCCATCCGTGCAGTGAAACACCACATGCACTCTAATGAACACACACACTAGGGGGCAGTAAGCACACCTGCCCAGAGGGAGCAGTTGGGGGCTTGGTGCCTTGATCTAGGGCGCATCAGTCACGTACTGTCGGTCAGGGGATCGAACCGGCGGTCAGCATGTACCGTGTAGCCCCTGCTTTCTGTTTTTATTGGCATTTCACATTCTGTCCCACCTTTTTTACAAATATATTTGCTTATTTATTTACTTACTTATTTATTCTGACACCTCAGTGGTGAACATGTACACTTTTACTTTGAGATTAATTGAGAGCAAAGGATCATTTTTGGCTTTTGTTCAAGCTACTTTAGTCCATGTTTATAGAGAACAGTGAGTCATACAGTGTCAGAAACCACATAATCAAGTCTGTTAGAGATACTGAACATGTTTAAAGCAAGTGTGCAATGATTTAGGCATGCAGTTAGCACCATGCTAACTGTCTATCTGTCTGTCTAGCTGTCTGTCTATCTATCTATCTATCTATCTATCTATCTATCTATCTATCTATCTACTTGTCCATCTGTCTGTCTGTCTGTCTGCCTATCTATCTATCTATCTATCTATCTATCTATCTATCTACTTGTCCATCTGTCTGTCTATCTATCTATCTATCTATCTATCTATCTATCTATTTACCTACCTATTTTTTGCTGAACTGTCTCTTTGATCTGTCTGTTCTGTGCTGTAGGCGAGTTACGCATCCCGTTCTCGGCGGTGTACAGCATGGTGGGCTTTAAAGAGACGGACCCTCAAGTGTTCCTCAGATCCACTCCCATCACCGCCAAAATACTGGAGGTGGAGCGCTTCATCAGAGCGAAGGACCGCTTCAACACCTCCAACCAGAGGAGCGTGTCCAGGGTCTGTAGAACACATGCACACTTCAAATAGTTAAGGTCATAAAATGTCTTGTTTTTTTTCTGTAAGAGGTATTAAATTAATATTTTTTAGATTTTTAATAATTAATATTTGAATAGAGCAGAAATGCCGTATTTGAGTTGGAAATATGAGAATGAGCTGCATAATTTTCTGCATAATTCTCTGTCTCTATAAATAAAAGACAGATCCCCACGTATGAATGAGTTCAGTCAAGTCTTAAAATGACAGTTCAGCACAGTCCCCCCCACCCTCCACTTACCCCAGATGATGTCGATCAGCCAAGTTTTGAAAGAGCAGTTCCACCAAATTTTCAAAATTCCCTTATAATCGGCTGTTTAAGATGTAAACAGGGTGATTCAGAGTGGTTTGGTGTGAAATGGTTCAGATGTCTTTACAGTGGTGGTGATAGGAACCAGGGGTCGCCATGACTACAGCACAGATATAGACATTTTATTTACTATCCAGAACCACCAGTGAACCTACACGAGTCTTCTGAGTTTATATAGAATGTTGATGATGGAAAATAGTGGAAAATCTGAAATAATAAGTTTTCTCTGGGGACTATTTTGCCTCACAGCGCCCTGCATGTATCCCTCCACCATGAATGGAGTTTAAGTTCTCTAAACTATCATAAAACAGTGTCTCAGTCATCAGGCAGTGAATTCATAACCATTTCATGCAGGAACTTTCTGTGAGGGAGCTTTTAGAGGTGGACGTCTGGTTCCTATCACCACCACTGTGAACAGTTCTGACTCAGTAAGTTTCTCTAGAACAGAGCGTTTCACACCAAACCACTCGGTGAAAACAGGAGAAAACACCAGGTCTGGGACTGAAAACCACACGGCCTTTTTTATTGACCTCTGTTCTGCTCTGTCCTGTTGGTGTGGGGGTCCAGGCCATGCCGGTGGTGTTCAGGATCGAGATGAGGCACGGGAACTTCACCTGGGTGGTGAAGAGGAAGGAGAAGCACTTTGTGGAGTTGCACAGGGAGCTGCTGCGCTACAAAACCTTCATGAGGATCCCGCTGCCCACACGCAGGTCCGACACCAGCTCTCATTGAGATTAGCATGCAGGCTAATTCACAGGGTGGCTTCTAGCCTAGCATTTTAGCGGCGGCTATGTCTGAAACGTAACAAACACTGATAGACAGTGTTTTGAGGCAGGACACCCAGTCATGTCCCAATCTAATGTCTGTATTAAGCAATGCCTCCTGAGGTTTTCCCATAATCCTGTGTGCCAACATCAATGTGGCTAGTTTAAACATGCTAAATTCATAAAAATCTAAGCTGTGTTTTTTTGGTGTTTTGCTTTATTTTGTCGTTTTAGAGCCTTCAGAGTACTTCAGCTCTGTAGAGTGTCTGGTTTCATAGTGTCTGTTTGCTAATGTAAGCTAACTTAAGCTGAGGTAAGCTAATGCTTAATAGTGAAACCTTGAGGCTTTTTTGAGCGTTAGAGCTTCTTCGTGTGAGACGAATGTTTGATTTCTGTGAAATGCCACATTTTGATGATTAAAAGTTTGCTAGCCTTCCAAAAAGAGGTTATTTTGGGTAAAAGCTACTAACAATTAAGGCTAACACAGCTAAGCGCTAACAGCTAGCAGTGAGCGGTCCATTTCTGGGCACATATTGCTGCTGAACCATTTTTGTGTTGATTTTGAGGCTTGCTTGGGATCATTTGTCTTGCTGGAAGATCCAAACTATGGCCCAATTTAAGCCTGGCTGGTTTTGTTTCTGCTGGTACTCGATGGAGTTCGTGATACCATGTCTTCAAATAAACTGTCCAGGGCTTTTGGAAGAAAAACAGCCCCACAGTATCACAGATCCACCAGCATACTTCACTGACTTCACTATGGGGATGAGGTGCTTTTCTGGCTATTTCTGCGTCCACACCAAACTCACCTCTGGCGTTTCTAATCGCACAGGTGAACTTTAAAACAAAAAATATGAATGGGAATATACTTCGCTTAGATTTCACTCTTGAGAATTCCTAGGGGTCCCAACAGTAGATTTAAGAAAAATATTTATTTCATGACAAGATTTAGTTTTGCTTTCAACCATTATACCTTAAATAAAGGTTAGATTTTTGCCAATATTTTAAATGAAAGGTCAAAAGAATAAGTAATTAAGAATATTTTTACAGCTTATTTTGCTCATGATTACCTGAGGTGCCAGTATTTGTGGAGGGCACTGTATTTATGTTATAACCAAAGAATAAAAATAGTACAGTACAGTGCAGTACAGTGATTCAGAGCAAGGCAAAGTATAATAACATATGGGTAGCGTTAATATTTTGGAGATATTTTTCCAAAATTCCTACAACATTAGAGAGACACTATATGTACAAAAGTATTTGGACACCTACACATCACACCCACAGGAGCTTTTATGAATCCCGTAGGCATTAATATGGAGTTGGTCCCCCTTTGCAGCTCTAACAGCTTCCACTCTTCTGGGAAGCTTCTACAAGATGTTGGAGAGTCTGTGGGAATTTCTGCCCATTCATCCAGAAGAGCATTTGTGAGGTCAGACACTGATGTTGGACAAGAGGGTCTGGCTCACAATCTCTGTTCTAGTTCATCCCAAAGGTGTTTGATGGGGTTGAGGTCAGGACTCTGTGAGGGCCACTGAAGTTCTTCCACACCAAACTCACCCAGTCATGCCTTTATGGAGCTGCTTTGTGCACTGGGGCTCAGTCATGCTGGAGCAGGAAAGGTTCTTCCCCAAACTGTTCCACAAAGTTGGAAGTGTCCAGAATGTCTTGGTGCTGAAGCATTAAGGTTTCCCTTCACTGGAACTAAGGGTTCTAGACCAACCCCTGAAAAACAGCCCCATATCATCATCCCTCCTCCACCAAACTCTACAGCTGGCACAGTGCAGTCAGGCAGGTAACGTTCTCCTGGCATTCGCCAAACCCAGACTCGTCCATCAGACTGACAGGTAGAGAAGCTGATTGGTCACTCCACAGGACACGTTTCCACTGCTCCAGAGTCCAGTGGTGGCGCTTTACACCGCTCCAGCTGACGCTTGGCATTGTGCATTTTGATCTTAGGCTTGTGTGCAGCTGCTTGGCCATTAACCCCATTTAGTAAAAATCCTAATGTGCAGTTCTTTTGCTGATGTTGCTTCCAGAGGCGGTTTGGAACTCTTTAGTGATGATTCAACAGAGGATAGACACTGTGCGCTTCAGCACTCGGCAGCCCCACTCTGTGAGTTTGTGTGGTCTGCCGCTTTGCTTGTTGCTCCTGGACGCTTTCGTTTCACAATAATAGCGCTTACAGTGGATAGATTTAGCAGGATTTCACAAACTGACTTGTCTCTCACACCTTCCCTTTCATCTCTTCTCTTTTTGTCTTTTGTGCTTCTTTTTCACTCTCTGCTTCTCACATGTGCGACATGAACAGTAAGTGCAACACAATCTGTACAATAACACGACATGTCCTGTATGAATATACTGGACTGGGCTGAAACTAGAGCTGCAGTCTGTCAGAGTGACTGTGTGGATCATATGAACATTATAGAGCTTTTTAAATGAAACAGTAGAAGCCATATCGCCCCCTACACTTCCTGTAGTGTACTACAGTCTGTCAGAATGACTGTGTGGATCATATGAACATTATAGAGCTTTTTAAATGAAACAGTAGAAGCCATATCGCCCCCTACACTTCCTGTAGTGTACTACAGTCTGTCAGAATGACTGTGTGGATCAACATTATAGAGCGATTTTAGATGTAAGAAAATGATACTTAGAGATTTTCTGTAATCAGTATCTGCAGTTCAGTGGATTTAACTCATCTCTCTCTCTCTCTCTCTCTCTCTCTCTCTCTCTCTGTCTCTCTCTCTCTCAGTCACACAGTTCGGAGGAAGAGTATGAATCAGAGTGAGGCGAGGCAGATGCCCAGTTTGCCACGCGGGGCCAGAGACGAGTTAGCCCGAGAGGAGCAGGTGTCCAGCAGAAGGGTCAGTAACTCCAGCTCTCTATATAACAATGCAGCATATCATCCAATATCAAACCATCATAAGACATTACAGGCCAAATATGACAAGTCTTATACAATTCTACCAACATCAACTCATAAAATGTAGTAATTCCACTACATTACTGGTGGCATGTCTAGTTTTTACCTAATTATAAACTATAAAACCCTGGAAAATATCTGCTTTTCTTTCACTTCCTTTTTTTAAAACTAATATGTTGTTAATTTTTAAGAGTTACAACAAGAATCCAGTCATCACCGTCCAGAATAAGATAAACGTCCCTGTTTTATGTTGTTGCTGTCCAAAATAAAACATGTATCTCCAGTTTATTTATATTTTTACTCATCCCCATTTACTCATCTCACAATGATTGTCCTTTTAAATGTGCTCAAAAATAATTTGGTGTAAAACGTCTTTACATTTACCTGCATTAAAAGGTAGAAATGTTTCCGCCCTCACTTTTAAAGTTGCTATTTCAGAGACTCTTGTTTCCCTTTGGACAGTGACGATGTGTTTAAAAGACGTTCCATGTGTTTTATCTGAATCTTGTAACGGTCATTATCATACACCGATCAGGCATAACATTATGACCACCTCCTTGTTTCTACGCTTATTGTCCATTTTATCAGCTCCACTTACTATATAGGTTTTACTATATAGGTTTTAAACACTGTCCACTCACTGTCCACTCTATTAGACACTCCTACCTTGTCGGTCCACCTTGTAGATGTAAAGTCAGAGACGATAGCTCATCTGCTGCTGCACAGTTTGTGTTGGTCATCCTCTAGTCCTTCATCAGTCACTGGACGCTGTTGGCTGGATATTTTTGGTTGGTGGACTATTCTCAGTCCAGCAGTGACACTGAGGTGTTTAAAAACTCCAGCAGCACTGCTGTGTCTGATCCGCTCAGACCAGCACAACACACACTAACACACCACCACTGTTACTGCAGTGCTGAGAATGATCCACCACTCAAATAGTACCTGCTCTGTGGGTGTCCATGGGGGTCCTGACCACTGAAGAACAGGGTAAAAGGGGGCTAACAAAGTATCAGAGAAACAGATGGACTACAGTCTGTAACTGTAGAACTACAAAGTGCACCTATATAGTAAGTGGAGCTGATAAAATGGACAATGAGCGTAGAAACAAGGAGGTGGTCAGAATGTTATGCCTGATCGGTGTGTATCTGAGCTTGTATGTATCAGTTTTACAGTGAGTCTTTCAGTAAAGAGTTCTGACATAGAGCTGCTGCTGCTGTTTTACATTCCTAAGAACTTACCGAAACACTGCTTAGACTACGACTCATATTGACAGTCAGTTATCTAGAACTTCTAGAAGGACTAGAGTGATGTTTTTTGGTGCCATTGTAAATCAGAGCGTGATTGGTTGATTCCTCTGTCAATTCCTAATTATGTTGGTAGTTAATTTAAAGTGTAAGGCCTTCAGTCCAGCTCCTGAAGTCCTAACCAATGGGAGAGCAGCTCAGCTGTATCTGCCTAGATACCACAGAGAAAACAGTCCTGATTGGACGATTTTCTGTCAAGCATTTCAAGATTTTAACCCTTTCATTTGCAGCTAAAACTCAATAGTGCATTAAATTACAGAAATTATAGACCTTTTATTTTAATTTTACAGAAATCATTAAGCTTCCATGAAGATCTAGAAGGACCTAGGGTCCCTCTGTGTTGTAGAAGGGCATGTTGGTACTTAAAGACCTATAAAGTGACACTTTGCTTGTCTTCCTGTACAGAAACAGCTGGAGGACTATCTGAACAAGCTGCTGAGGATGGGGATGTACCGAAAGTACCATGCGACCGTAAGCCCTCCAGCTGTTTTCTCCAAAGCAATGCTTAAAATGTTAAAAACCGGATTAACTGTAAAAACAAGCCGAGAGTTACAGCACATTCGGTTGGATCACAATCGTTTAAGGATTTTTTACTGGCACAAAACGATCATACAGTGCTGTGCAAAACTCTTAGACACATAAGAAAATTGTAAAAATGGTTTATCTGGGCAGTACGAGTGTTTTTAGCAGATAGTTAGTGATGTTAGTGACGTCTGTGATGAAAATTTAAGCTGCGTTCAGGTTCTGCGTTCAAAATAATGTCATTGAATGGTTGAAAGTATAAATACATTCTAATGAAGCTTATTTTGTGCGCTTGTGTTATCTAGCTACTACACAAAGCACTGCTTCATGCATAGAAATCCTTCAGTAGGGTTCATTCAATTACAGCAAATAAGACAAATGTAATTAATCACAATTAATTATGCAAATCATTTGACAGCTCTTATTAGAATACATGTAAATAAACATAAATACAGTGTTCAGTAAATTGAATGTGTGATTTTCAGTAGAGTTACACTGAAAAAATAAGATCTTAACAAGTGAAAATACCTCAAATGTAGTCAGTAAATCTAATATCTCTAATTATGAGTCTGTTGTAAGAATATTATAAGATTATTCCACCTGTTTCTGTACATTTTTACTTGTTTTAAGTGATTTTATCTGGTGAAAGTGTCTTATTCCATTGGCAGATTAGTTTAGTTGCTTTGAGAAATAATGAAGATAATTTTGCTAATTCTAAGAAATGATGCTTAAAACGAATAGCATGATCTGCCAATGAAATAAGACACTTTTATAAGATAAAACTGCTTAAAAACAAGTAAAATGACTAGAAATAAGTTAAATAATCTCACAATATTCTTACAACAGTCTCATAATGAGAAATATTAGATATATTGATTACGTTTAAGATGTTTACACTCACTAAGATATCCTATCTTGCAGTGTATGAATATGTTGGTTTGAAGAAAACAGAAGAGCACAGCGCCTGATTTAAATTAATAAAGGATTAGATTAGATTAGATTAGATTGCATTAGATTGTGTTAGATTAGATAACTGTGAAGACTGCTCTCTCTCAGACGTCCAAAGACTTTTTCACAGTAATATAGGTCTGTAAAGCTCAGCTGCACTGGTTCAAACTTTCACACAGACCGTGGGACTCAGTGTTGACAGTTGTCTGAGGTAATTCATCCATCCAGATGTGAGTAAATGAAATAAACAGCTGTTTGAATTAGTGCGTATTAGAGATGAATGTGGATCCTCAGGCTGTATTCTGGCTGATGGGCTGTGTAATTAGATCACTGTTTGGAGCTGTAACTGGAGCATGTGTGTGTTTCGGCAGTGATATTGTGTAGTTTTGGCGTTAGTGGTGGTAATCTATACCTCAATCTCTAATCTAGGGTGTCTTTATTCGCCCTCAGGAGACACAGGCCTTGTACTGAGTCTGAGCACAAAACAGCATTCAGCGTTAAAGGGAAATTCCACCAGTTACTCTCAAAACCTCTGCTTAGTTCAGTGTTTGAGATGTAAACACAGTGGTTTGCTGCAAATACAGCCGTATAGCTTCTATTTTTAGGCCAAAAATCTTCTCAAAACAGTGTCTCAGTCATCAGGCAGTGAATTCATAACCCTTTCATGTAGTAACTTTCTGTGATGGAGCTTTTAGAGGTGGACGTCTGGTTCCTATCACCACCACTGTGAGCTATTATGTCTCTTGCCGTCGCTGTCACTGAATAGCTTGATCTTTATTGATGTAGCTCAAGGCCCCATGTGGTGCTTTCTGTCAGTATATTTGGCAGGACGTTGGGGAAAGTGTTGTCAGCAAGTCCCTCTTGGAACTTGCTACAGTTTGCTAGCGGTGTAGGCTAGAACTTTGTTTTATCATAAATCAGATATTTATCTATAATCACAAAAAAACTACATCTAATCACTCATAACAGTGTGACCTTTCACACACATACAAGATTAATATCATTACAAATGAGTCTGTTCTACAGTTTCTCATTAGGCTGAATGAATAACCGACTCTAAATGTAGGTATTGTGATATAAACTGAGTCTGTTCTACAGTTTCTCATTAGGCTGAATGAATAACTGACTCTAAATGTAGGTATTGTGATATAAACTGAGTCTGTTCTACAGTTTCTCATTAGGCTGAATGAATAACCGACTCTAAATGTAGGTATTGTGATATAAACCGAGTCTGTTCTACAGTTTCTCATTAGGCTGAATGAATAACTGACTCTAAATGTAGGTATTGTGATATAAACTGAGTCTGTTCTACAGTTTCTCATTAGACTGAATGAATAACCGACTCTAAATGTAGGTATTGTGATATAAACCGAGTCTGTTCTACAGTTTCTCATTAGGCTGAATGAATAACTGACTCTAAATGTAGGTATTGTGATATAAACTGAGTCTGTTCTACAGTTTCTCATTAGGCTGAATGGGATTTTACTAGCATCCTGTAAAGCTTGTCTTGGGTAACTCTGTTGAGACTGTGTCTATGCATTGATGATATTGAGCAGGTGTCTCTCTCTCCCTAACAGATGGAGTTTATTGACGTGAGCCAGATGTCTTTCATCCATGATTTGGGTCCAAAAGGCTTGTAAGGATGCTTTATTTCCCTTGTTCCTCCATTAACATCACTTAATTGCAGTCATAAAGTTTAAACTAACATAATTCCTCATTTTATGAGCAGATATTAAGAGAATTAAGACTGAGTCAGCACGGTCTCACATTTCACTCAGTGTTGTTATCTGTGTATCTTACAGGGAGGGTATGATATATAAAAGGTCAGGAGGTCACCGGATCCCTGGCATGAACTGCTGTGGACACAGCCAGATCTGCTACCGCTGGTCTAAGAGGTCAGTAAAAACGTTCTGATATATACGTATATAGAAATATTTCTATTATATTTTGTTGATTTTCTGTGTGTAAATAAATTACACTTCCTCTACAAAGAACACACTTAATATGGCCTTTGCTGCTCATTTTAGTGCACAACTTCTGTTTATTGACTGATGTTAACATAAAAAAAACACTTAAAAGGTGCTCTACGTTTTGCACAGGTCACATTTTATGTTTTATTGTTTCCTCCAGTATGTTAAATAAACAAATAAACAAATAACTGTGCTTTAAAATGTGCAGACGTTTGTTCTCTGTAGAAGAACAAAACATGGAATTTGACCTGGGCGCCTAAACTTTTGCATACGTCTGGACGTATTGTGTGCCGTTCGATTGGCTGCGTATGAAATTTATTTTGTTATTGATTTGTATTCTGTACACTCCATTTACATAAACATCAGCTTCACATGCCATGGTACGGTTTGATAGCAGTCTACACATTCAGTGGTGTTGAGGTCTGGACTCTGGGGTGGTCAGTCCATCGTTCAGCTTCTTTGTTTGATGTGTCCGTCTCCTTTTCTCAGTGAGGTTCTTCTTGATCAGCTACACATCCTTTCAGACCCACAGCGCTGAGTCGTCTTCTCACAGTGGAAGGATGGACAGAAACACCTGTGGATGTTTTCAGATCTGAAGCAGCTTGATTTTCTCCTCTCTCTCAGAGATGAAAGCTTTAAGTGCTGTTTATCTGATGGGCCAGTTTTGGGGTCAACCAGGTCTTCCGGGTGGTTGTTAGGAGACACATTTTCTCTGGAGTTTTAATCAGTTTTTGAGCTCCAATTCTGGAAGCTCCTGTTCTTTTTCACTTTGGCTTTGTCCGTCTTTATGCACATGGATTATCTTGTATCTAATCTCCTCCGAAATCTCTTGAAAAATGAATAATGTGAACTTGATGGCTGTTTTAAATAAAATTAAAGTTTTCTGTTTTTTTTATTTTCTCCATTAAGGTGGTTGGTAGTGAAAGATTCTTTCCTGATGTACCTGAAACCGGACACAGGAGCCGTTTCGTTCGTGCTTCTGGTGGACAAAGAGTTCACCATAAAAATGGACTCCAAGCACACAGAGACGAAGCACGGAGTGAGGATAGACAGTCTGTCCAGGTGAGTCGTGAACAGGAAGCGGTCAGAGCGAAGAGGAAGTGGTCATGCAGCAGACAGGTGCTGAGTGTGGTTTTTGTTTTTGTACAGGACACTGGTCCTGAAGTGTAACAGTTACAGACACGCCCGCTGGTGGGGGCAGGCCATCGAGGAGTTCGTCCGGAAACACGGGAAGGCTTTCCTGAGAACCCACCGCTTTGACTCCTTCGCCAAAGAACAGGAAAATATACCTGCCAAATGGTACAGTCCACTATATACCTGTTAAATGGTACAGTCCACTATATACCTGTTAAATGGTACAGTCCACTATATACCTGCCAAATGGTACAGTCCACTATATACCTGTTAAATGGTACAGTCCACTATATACCTGCCAAATGGTACAGTCCACTATATACCTGCCAAATGGTACAGTCCACTATATACCTGTTAAATGGTACAGTCCACTATATACCTGCCAAATGGTACAGTCCACTATATACCTGTTAAATGGTGCAGTCCACTATATACCTGCCAGAAGTACATACATGATGTACTTCTAACATGTCTTGTTTTGATGCACACCTGTCTCACCTGGTCTCACCTGGTCTCACCTGATGTCTGCAGGTATGTGAATGGTAAAACCTACATGGAGGACGTAGCGAACGCTCTGGAGGCGGCTAAAGAGGAAATCTTCATCACAGACTGGTGGTATGAACCTAACATGACCCTAAACACAGAGCCAGGTTTACGCGCATCGCGCCGTATCACCTCTATTAAACATTCCATGTAATCTGATAAGAGCTGGTGGAAAGTGCCAACAGGGTTTAAAGGTTGTGCTGGCAGTCGAGTCCGCACTGTTCAAATCCTGCTTCACCTCAGTTATTGAGAAAGGCATGCTCAAAAAAATGCAGAAAATGTAGTTTTGAAACTGAAAGTAAAGTGGGAGTTTTCAGCTAACAGCTGTTTATAAATTAACAGAGTCTTGAATGATATCTGCTTTATTTCTGTTATTACTGTTAACGTTTCAAGCTGCTACGGGTATGAACAGACCTCTATAGTAATAATAATAATAAATAATAATATAGTTTGCTAGTGAGATGAGTCATATCTAAGGTTTGTGCACCCCCTGGTCAAATGGCATGTTCTGTTGATTTTCAGAGTGTAAGTAAGTTAACTCATCCTCTACAGAGAACACACTAATTATGGCCTTTTCTCCTCATTTTTGTGCACAATTTCTATTTATTGACTGAATTTAACATAAACAAAACACTAACACTGTGCCCTAACTTTTGCATGGTTCATATTGTATTTTTTTAGTATTATTATACTTTATTTTTCCCCCAGTATGTTAAATTCAGCAGCAGATAAGCAGTAACTGCATTAAAATGGCAGAAGTGTGTTCTCTGTAGAGCAACAAAACATGGAATTTGACCTGGGCGCCTAAACCTTTGCATACGTCCGGACGTATTGTGTGCCATACTTTTGGCTGTGTATGAAATTTATTTGGTTATTGATTTGTGTTCTGTACACTCCATTTACATAAGCGGCAGTTTCATGAGAACAGCTTCCTGCTACACTGAGCTACTTCATCTGGAGAACCTGAAACGCTCAATAACATTTATAATAAGTATAAAATAATAAATATTTTAATCTTATTACTACATAAATTGGTATCTGGTATCATCTGCTGATGCGTAAACCCTTATAAAAAGTATACATTTACGTTTATCAGACGCTCTTATCCAGAGTGACCATTTTACACAGGTAGGTGAAGGTGGCGTTAGGAGTTTTGCCCAAGGACTCTTATTGGTATATTGTAGGGTGGTTACCCAGGCGGGGATTGAACCCCAGTCTACAGTGTAGAGGACAGAGGTGTTACCCACTACACCATACCAAACACTATCCACTACACTACACCAACTACTACCCACTACACTACCAGTACACTACACCAACCACTACCTACTATACTACACCAACCACTATCCACTACACTACACCAACTACTACCCACTACACCACACCAACCACTACCCACTACACTACCACTACACTATACCAACCACTACCCACTACACTACCACTACACTATACCAACCACTACCTACTACACAACACCAACCACTACCCACTACACTATACCAACCACTACCCACTACACTACCAACTACACTATACCAACCACTACCTACTACACAACACCAACCACTACCCACTACACTATACCAACCACTACCCACTACACTATACCAACCACTACCCACTACACTACCCACTACACTATACCAACCACTACCCACTACACTACACCAACCACTGCCCACTACACTACACCAACCACTGCCCACTACACTACACCAACCACTGCCCAATACACTGTACCAAACTGGGATTAAATCTATCTGCATTGTCATGACAGAGAAATAAAACATTTATTTGTGCAGAGTTACAAATGCAGGGAAGTGGTTCAAATGCAGATATTTGAGTGCAGAAAACTAAACTAAACTCTACTGGAGATATAATTAAATATATTGTCACATATCAGTGCAGACAGTATGAAATATGTGCACACAAAAGTCCTAAGACTTTTTGAGAGTTACAGAGATTTATTAGAAGAGTCCAGCGTGTGGTGTGGCGCTGACCGCTGGCTGTGTGCGGTGTCTGTTACTCAGCTGGTGTCATGTTTTCTTTCCTTCCGCTGCTATAAATATCACTGAGTCTGTGTGGAGGGTGTGGAACACGGTTAGGAGGCTTTAGTGTTGGTGAATCTCACTGTTATCTGATAGTAATATTGTTTAACTCACTCACAGCCTCACAGCAGAACAACATAAAGTTGTATATGCATGGAGTGGCTGATCAGTGTTAGAATGCAATACTGACAGGTTCATTTATATATTTTTTAGTTTTGTTTTTGCTATTTTGCACAATAACATATTTCAGATTTACGTTTAGTTGCTAAAAATGTCTTTTATTCAAAAGTTAAGTAACATCCCAGAATACTACGCCACTGTTAGCTTACAAAAATAGGTTTACTTCAGCTAAAATGGTTTTATTTTCAAATATATGAACACATATAAATATATACTGTGATATATACCGAAACCACCTGGAAATGTATCTATACTGTAATCTCGTCGAGCCATTTGCATGATTTAAATGTCAGAACTTCTTGTTGTTTCTAATTTACTGTAAATAGTGAATAAACCGACCAGCTCAAAGTGTCTCACAAACAGAGAAGTATTAAAATTCAGATAAGAGTAAAAACCCTCAAAAACATGGTTCTTCAAGGGTTTCGTAGTAAAGACGATGGTTCTGTGTAGCACCAAAAATAGTTCTTCTATTGTTATAGGCTTGATATTTTTACAATAGCAGAACCATTTTTAAAAAGGTTCTATATAGGACATTCTCCATCTGTCTGAAGAGCCATTTCACCATGCAAAGAACCATTTAAACACTATTATAAATATATATATATATATATATATATATATGTATGTATATACACGTGTGTGTGTGTGTGTGTGTGTGTGTGTGTTTATTTATTTATTTATATATTTATATCGCTGTTGTTAGAAGAAAACCTCGTATCTCCAAAATAGTAACTTCACAGGAGAAGGAAAAAACATACTTTACTTTTAGTAATAGTAATAGGCATTTTCAGATTATGTCAAAAACTGAAAAACGACAAAAAATGGAGATACAGGGTTTTCTTCCAACAGCAGCGATATCCAACATTTTAATAATGTGGGTCTGTAATTATGATCGCCTCATTCCTGTGTGCAGACTGGGGCTGTCTAATGTTTTTACCTTGTTATGGTTGATTTGTGTTGTTTGCTGATGTAAATAAGGTGTGTATCGTGTGCAGGTTGAGTCCGGAGATCTTCCTGAAGAGGCCGGTGGTCGAGGGAAACCGCTGGAGACTCGACTGCATCCTCAAGCGCAAAGCAGTGAGTGGGACTGTTATTATCAGCGGAATTTGTCATTAATCTCTGTTATTTAGGAAGTGATTCAGTGCATCATAACATTTATTCACCGTAACAAATTCATCGTGATTCAGTTCAAATGCAGTTCAGTTATTTTAGTACTTAAACACTGACTGTTTAATTGGATTTAGTGTCATGCAGTTTATGAAACACAAAAAATCACTGTAAAAATCATAAATGCATTATGATATTATATTAATAATAATTATTAATTATAATCATCTCAGACTGATGTGTCACAATGACCCCGCTTTAGACCCCCAGTGTTTGTGGTTAAACCATAGTCACTGAATAAATGCCGCTAGATAAGCTCCTAAACTACACAAACATCATGGCCATTCCAGTTCACGCCAGGCACTACATTTCCCACAGTGCACCAGTATCTTTCCTTTGAACACTTTCACTTTGTCAGGCTGCACAGCTGCTGTGCTCAGTGTGGAGCTCACAGTAGGTAGACATGAACATGCGCAGATGTTTAACAACATAAATGTTTCAACACCAGCTGGTTGACCTCAGAGCAGCCAGAGCATGTTAAAGCTGACCACTTACAAAAAAAACACACATTGGACCATCAGGCTTTAGTCTAACTGGAGTTAATACACTAATAATAGTGTAATTTATTTTTAGATAAGAGGGAAGTTGTAGAGTTAACTTCTCACTCTGGACAATTAGCATAAACTACTGATGCAAAAAAAAAAAAATTATGTGTATATATATAGAGCGAGCAACTAACGGGCCGTAAAACAGCAGCTGATGACGAGAGTTAACCCTCCTGCTTCTGCACTGACTGTGATTTTAAAGCGAAAGTTCAAGCAAAAGGTCTAAATCCTCCTCATTAGCTCAAACGTAGTCGCCAAGACATGAAGTCAGCGTCTTTAGCTATGAGGCTAATGATGTAGCCACAGTGACATAATCAGCACACATCACTAACATACTGTAATCTATAGAAATGGACTAAAGCACAGACCAAAGTCAGTCGCCCAGGTGATTGTTGTTAATGTTTTTAGCTTGAATTATGAACTGCATGAATTATAACATGTTATATGTTGCATACATGTGTATATGCATATATATATATATATATATATATATATGCATATATATATATGTGTATGTGTGTGTGTGTGTGTGTGTGTGTGTGTATATACCGATCAAGCATAACATTGTCCATTTTATCAGCTCCACTTACTATATAGGTGCACTTTGTAGTTCTACAGTTACAGACTGTAGTCCATCTGTTTCTCTGATACTTTGTTAGCCCCCTTTTACCCTGTTCTTCAGTGGTCAGGACCCCCACGGACCCTCACAGACACAGCAGTGCTGCTGGAGTTTTTAAACACCTCAGTGTCGCTGCTGGACTGAGAATAGTCCACCAACCAAAAACATCCAGCCAACAGCGTCCTGTGACCACTGATGAAGGATTAGAGGATGACCACCACAAACTGTGCAGCAGCAGATGAGCTATTGTCTCTGACTGTACATCTACAAGGTGGACTGACAAGGTAGGAGTGTCTAATAGAGTGGACAGTGAGTGGACACAGTGTTTAAAAACTCCAGCAGCACTGCTGTGTCTGATCCACTCAGACCAGCACAACACACACTAACACATCACCACCACGTCAGCGTTACTGCAGTGCTGAGAATGATCCACCACCCAAATAGAACCTGCTCTGTGAGGGTCCATGGGGGTCCTGACCACTGAAGAACAGGGTAAAAGGGGGCTAACAAAGTATCAGAGAAACAGATGGACTACAGTCTGTAACTGTAGAACTACAAAGTGCACCTATATAGTAAGTGGAGCTGATAAAATGGACAATGAGCGCAGAAACAAGGATAATAATGTCTGATCGGTGTGTAGATACACTATATTGCCAAAAGTCTTCACTCACCCATCCAAATCACTGAATTCAGGAGTTCCAGTCACTTCCATGGCCACAGGTGTATAAAACCGAGCACCTAGGCCTGCAGACTGCTTCTACAGACATTAGTGAAAGAATGGGTCGCTCTCAGGAGCTCAGTGAACTCCAGCGTGGTACTGTGATAGGACGCCACCTGTGCAACAAGTCCAGTCGTGAAATTTCCTCCCTACTAAATATTCCACAGTCAGCTGTCAGTGGTATTATAACAAAGTGGAAGCGATTGGGAACGACAGCAACTCAGCCACGAAGTGGTCGGCCACATAAAATGACAGAGCGGGGTCAGCGGATGCTGAGGCGCATAGTGCGCAGAGGTCACCAACTTTCTGCAGAGTCAATCGCTACAGACCTCCAAACTTCATGTGGCCTTCAGATCAGCTCAAGAACAGCGTAGAGAGCTTCATGGAATGGGTTTCCATGGCCGAGCAGCTGCATCCAAGCCTTACATCACCAAGCACAATGCAAAGCGTCGAATACAGTGGTGTAAAGCGCCGCCACTGGACTCTAGAGCAGTGGAGATGTGTTCTCTGGAGTGACCAATCACGCTTCTCCGTCTGGCAATTCGATGGACGAGTCTGGGTTTGGCGGTTGCCAGGAGACGGTACTTGTCTGACTGCATTGTGCCGAGTGTAAAGTTTGGTGGAGGGGGGATTATGGTGTGGGGCTGTTTTTCAGCAGTTGGGCTCGGCCCCTTAGTTCCAGTGAAAGGAACTCTTAATGCTTCAGCACCAAGAGATTTTGACAATTTCATGCTCCCAACTTTGTGGGAACAGTTTGGGGACGGCTCCTTCCTGTTCCAACATGACTGTGCACCAGTGCACAAAGCAGCTCCATAAAGACATGGATGAGTGAGTTTGGTGTGGAAGAACTTGACTGGCCTGCACAGAGTCCTGACCTCAACCCGATAGAACACCTTTGGGATGAATTAGAGCGGAGACTGCGAGCCAGGCCTTCTCATCCGACATCAGTGTCTGACCTCACAAATGCTCTTCTGGAAGAATGGTCAGAAAATCCCATAAACACTCCTAAACCTTGTGGAAAGCCTTCCCAGAAGAGCTGAAGCTGTTATAGCTGCAAAGGGTGAGCCGACATCATATTAAACCCTATGGATTAAACATGGGATCTCACTCAAGTTCATATGTGTGTGAAGGTAGACGAGCAAATACTTTTGGCAATATAGTGTGTATATATATATGTATGTATGTATGTGTATGTATGTATATGTATGTATGTATATGTATGTATGTATGTGTGTATGTATGTATAGTGATCTTATGTATGTCATGTTTGTTTCCCTCTTGTATTATCCAGTTGCTGCTTGACCTAATCAATAGTTCATGTTAAATCAGGTGCTGCTGACAGAATTTAATACATCAATTTTAATGAATCCATGTGACAATTGGAAAAGAAATCTGGAACCAAGCTTTGTTCTTCTGACATTGCATTGCATTGCAGTATGAATGTAAATGCAAATTTAAATCATGTGCTCAGGTGACCTCTGTACAGTACTGTGTTCTCCAACCAGTAACTGAATTGAATTGGTTACAGCGCTTGGTGGAAACAGCTGCAGTGCTCTGTTTCTAAAGCGGTCTGTTCTGCCTCTGTGACTGATGAGCTTAGTGGGAGGCGTCTCCTGCAGTGTGTGTATGTGAGATGTTTGTGTTTGTGTTTGCAGCAACAAGGTGTGCGCATCTTTGTAATGCTGTATAAAGAGGTGGAGCTGGCTCTGGGCATCAACAGCGAATACAGCAAGAGGACGCTGATGCACCTTCACCCCAACATCAAGGTAACTGTGAGGGCACATGGCCACTTTATCAGAAACCCCGCTCTCAGAGCTCCACCCTGCTGGTGTACAGTTACAGTAATGAAGTGGCCAGTTAGTGGAAACACAAGGCAGGTGTTTCTAATAAAGTGGCCAGTTAGTGGAAACACAAGGTAGGTGTTTCTAATAATGTGGCCAGTTTGTGGAAGCACAAGGTAGGTGTTTCTAATAAAGTGGCCGGTTAGTGGAGGCAGAAGGTAGGTGTTTCTAATAAAGTGGCCAGTTATTGGAAGCACAAGGTAGGTGTTTCTAATAAAGTGGCCAGTAAGTGGAAGTACAAGGTAGCTGTTTCTAATAAAGTCAGTTACTGACTCAAGTTTGTTAGAGATACTGACCAACTCCACACAGTCTGAGGCGAGCGTGTGATGATTTGTCATGCAGTTATCGTGCAGTTAGCACCATGCTAATTAGTGGGGTAGATTACGCTGCGTTATTTTGTATGTCTGTCTTTATGTCCTCTGCAGGTGATGAGGCACCCTGACCATGTCTCCTCTTCAGTCTACCTTTGGGCTCACCATGAGAAGATTGTGGTGATTGACCAGTCGGTGGCGTTTGTTGGTGGGATTGACCTGGCGTACGGTCGCTGGGACGACCGCGAGCACCGGCTGACGGACGTGGGGAGCGTGACGCGCTCCGCTCAGAGCATGGACCAGGTCTGCAAACAGTCACATGTTCAAACAGTCTCAGAGGGTCCGCAGTGGAGGCGTCTGATTGGATGTTGTGAAAATTTTAATGAAATTATTTTTTTATGTTGTTGCATGAAACAATTTCTGAGCAGCTTGATGGTTAAATGAACTAATTAAAAACAATCACTCGCACACGACAGTAGATTGTCATACTAGTTAGCAAGATTAGCAGTTCGCAGTTTTTTTTATATAATAATTTCCTATGTAGATCACATGACCAGCAGTAGAGCCCGTCTGATAAATGGTGTCGTGTGTGCCGATATTATCGGTTGATATAAGCTAGTTGCAGATAAATTGGTATTGGCGTTTATAACGGCCGATAAATTACACTTAAAAAAGAAACTGAGAGGCAGAAAACAGATCCCACAACCACAGAGTGTGTAGTTGCTCTGCGACTTTCCTGTTGGTAACACACAACGGTACAAATCACAACAATCAGCTGACCAGAGTCGAGCAGGCCAGAGTGCTCCTCAAAAGAGGTTATCAGCGTCCATGGTGAGCTGATATTTGTCACATGAAATACAACCCCATTTCTAAAAAAGTTGGGACGCTGTGCAAAATGTAAATAAAAACAAAATGCAATGATGTGCAAATCAAGCAAACCATATTTTTGAAAGGAAAATAGTACAAAGACAACATATCAAATGTTGAAACAGAAATTTGATCTTTTTTTTTAATATTTGGCCATTTTGAATTTGATGCCAACAACATGTTCCAAAAAAGTTGGGACGGGGCAGCAAAAGGCTGGTAAAGCTGTGTGATGCTAAAAAAAACACCTGGTGGTTGATTGGCAACAGGTCAGTAACATGATTGGGTATAAAAAAGCTTCCCAGAGAGTTGCCAGCAAATACACCAGGTTATTAGGCTCATAACCCAGCCCTGCCTGCTGTGTTGTGTAATAACGTTTGTCCTGTTCTGCAGATGGATGGTTCTGTGATTTCCATGGTTAAAGGAATTTCCTCCCTTAACGGCTCCTGCTCCGCGGAGCTGGTCGATCTGCCCAAACTGAAGGGAGTCGGCCGGACGCGGAAGTCCCGGTTCAGCCTTTACCGTCACCTGCACCGACACGGCCTGCACCACGCCGACAGCGTCAGCAGCCTCGAGAGCTCGGACAGTGAGTACAGGACTCGCCCTCACCCTGCTGCAGATTAACACAGCACCACCAGCACCACTTAAATTCCTTAAAAATGAGCAGCGGGCAGATGTTTAGGTTCATCTGATGTTTCGGACTGATACACCGTGGCGTGTTTACTGAACTCAGCAGAGTTTAGAGCTGAGTTACTGCTCTAAAATATCTGCATTTTATTCACTTCACTGGGTCATTCTACACTGGAGTCACTGGTGTTACCGATCCTCATTGGTGTTCCACATAATAAAGGAACACCAGAGACATTTTAATGAACAATGCATTTTACAAAATAGCTGCTACAGAGCATCAAACCACATGTTGTCAGTCATGGAACATCCACTAAAATATGGAATTTAATCCATTTGTATTCTATTTTTTCACAGTTACCTCAGAATAAAGTCGGTCACACCAGTGACTTCAGCTAAAAGCTTTGTATGAAATCATGAGCTAAATGAGAAAATCTCTGATAACTGAAAGACACAGTGGACTCACCATGAGCTTTTCTTCATAGATCCTCAGAAAACACGGAAAAGGAAGTTGAATGATGTCATCAGTGTGACTTTTATTTCAAAATAAGAGATTTTTTTGTTACGCAGTAACACCAGTGACTCGACTCCTGGGGACAACAACTTTCATTACATATTTTATAATATTTATTTGGCGTTTGTTTTCTTTATGTGATTTAATTTATATATTCCATAGTCATGTATAGATTATTGTAGTTAAAATTGCAGAAAAATGTGTTTTTTTTTTCTTCAAAATATGGCCTCAGCCTTCACACACGACTGTGAGGACGAGCTCTTCTGTGGTGCTTGGAATTCTATATGATTGATTTATAAACTGATATTGCTAAATTGAGGCTGAAGAAGGTGTAATTGTTAAAATAACTTATTGTTTTATTTTAAAATATAAATAAACATGTTTTTTTTTATGTGTAATATATCTCTAAACGCTAGAGACACAAAAATGGGCGATTCTGTAGAATGACCCAACTGCATTTGTTCCAGAAATAAATGTAAATTTCTCTGTGATGCTGATACAGTTGTTCCCAGTTTTACATTTACAAATGTTTATCTATCAGATTCAACAGAAAAGCACAAGAAGATTATTGGATATCAGCCTCAGTTCCCACATTGTTGGATCCCTATTTTAGGAACTAATATCTGTTTGATAGGCTGAACAGAAAAACTTCATCCACTACTGTTGTAGCAACGCTAGCTAGCTAAGTTAACGTTGTAGCCGACACCGCTAACTGCTGTAGCCTGGAGTTACTCTGAGGGATCGGCTGCCATTTTTCTCATTGTAGTTGCCCTGTGCATCTACATGTAGGAGCCATGCTGTTCTCCTGTTAGTCAATCTTTAGCCATGCTCTTTCCCTATTGGTGGATTTTTTACCATGATCTTTTCCTGTTGATGGATCTTTATCAATGCTTTTTAGGTATGCCTTGTTGTTTTGGTGGATTTTCAGATATGCTGTTTTCCTGTTGGTGTATTTTTAGCCATTCTCTTTTCCCATTTGTCAGTTTTTAGCTTTGCTCTATTCCTATTGGTCAATTTTTGGCTGTGCCGTTCTCCTTTTGGTGGATTTTTAGTCATACACGTTTCCTATCTGTGGATTTTTAGACATGCCCTTTTCTTATTACTGGATTTTTAGACATGCTCTTGTCCTATTGGTGAATTTTTAGACATGCTCTTTTCCCATTGGTGGATTGTTCGAGGTGCTGTTTTCCTTTTTGTGGATTTTTAGTCATTCCTTTCTCCTGTTGGTGGTTTTTTAGATATGCTTTAGTCATATTGGGGATTTTTAGACAAGCTGTTTTCCTAATGTTGGATTTTTAGACATGCCCTTTTCCTATTGGTCAGTTTTTAGGCAGACTCTTTTCCTACTGGTGGATTTTTAGCGATGCCCTTCTCCTATTGGTGGATTTATAGCCATGCTGTTTTCCTATTGGTCAACTTTTAACCATAATAATCTCCTGTTGTAAGATTTTTAGCCATGCTGTTTTCCTATTGGTCAATTTTTTGCTGTGCTGTTTTCCTATTGGTCAACTTTTAACCATAATAATCTCCTGTTGTAAGATTTTTAGCCATGCTGTTCTCTTATAGGTGGATTTATAGCCATGCCGTTGATTTTTGGGTGTGGATGGAGTCTTGTTTTGACGTGTTTGATTCCAATCCTGTCATTCTGCCCCAAAGGCATTAAATCGGTCGCCACTGAGGAACCACACATTACCTGCCCTAACTTCACTGATTTTAACCACAACCAGAGAGCTCAGCGTTACCATAGCTGAGCTAAGTGTAAGTGTGCGCTGGTGTAATCAGGTCTGTCTGCTGACGTTAGATTCTAGCCACTAATCAGTGGAGTCTGTGTGAAAGGCAGCGTTTCTGAGTGATTACAGCCCTCAGACTGTTCATCTCCACTCAGCAGAGTGAGACCGAACCCACTTCACACTCTGGTCATTAAGTGATTACAAAACACTCACAGTCAGACAGTAAAGGAGCATCTTTTCTGGGGTGATGATGGTTTTATGACGGTATAATGGTCAGAGTGTGCGGCGCTGTCTCTCTGGAGTGTAGAGGATCATCAGTGTTTGAAACTCACTGTAACTCCAGACCGAGCTCTGCTGTAATGAACCGGTTCTGAGATTCAGTTCTAACAGGGTCTGTTTTGTAAGATTTCCTGTAGAAGGTCTCTAATCTCTTTCGTACCGTTTGGTGTGAGTGGTATTATTTGTGAGTAATGTACAGTGCTGGTCAGCCTTGTCAGTTTTATTTGCACTGTTTCTTTTCAGTTGAGTAAGAAGTCCTGAAGGGTGTGAGTGCTGATATCATAATGAGGGGATGAATGTGTGATCCAGAGGCTTTTAGCAGGTTCACACCACAACTAGGGGTGTCACAGGATAGTAGACGCTGTAAATTTAATACAGTAAGATCTTATGCTACAACATGTATGATACCAGGAATGGCTTGTATGGTTAAGTTTAATATAAATATATACAACCCCATTTCCAAAAAGTTGGGATTAAAAATTAAATGCAATGGTGTGCAAACCATTTAAACCCTATAGTTCATTGAAAATAGTACAAAGACAACATATCAAATGTTAAAACTGAGACGTTTTATGGTTTATTGACAAATATTTACCCATTTGAATTTGATGCCAACAACACATTCCAGAAAAGTTGGGACAGGGGCAACAAAAGGCTGGTAAAGTTGTGTAATGCTAAAAAAAACACCTGGTGGAACATCTCACAACTATATAGGTTAAATGGCAACAGGTCAGTAACATGATTGGGTATAAAGAGCATCTCAGAGAGGCGGAGTCTTTCAGAAGTAAAGATGAGGAGGGGTTCACCACTCTGTGAAAGACTGCACCATCAAATAGTGCGACAATCCAAGAATAACGTTTCTCAACGTAAAATAGCAAAGAACTTCTGCTTCTCATCATCTACAGTACATAATATCATTAAAAGATTCAGAGAATCTGGAGAAATCTCTGTATGTAAGGGACGAGGCTGAAAACCAGTATTTGCTGGCCGTGATCTTTGGGCCCTCAGGCAGCACTGCATTAAAAACAGACATGATTCTGTAGTGGAAATCACTGCATGGGCTCAGAAACACTTCTGAAAACCACTGTCTGTGAAAACAGTTCATCACTGCATCCACAAATGCTAATTAAAACTCTAAAACGCAAAGAAGAAACCAAATATAAACAGAGCTATATTTACACACACACACATATAGTTGTGTGTGTAGTTCAGTCAGTGATAGCTATGAATGAAAAAACTCCACTGCGCAGCTCTCAGTGGAGTAGAGGTGGCTGATAAACTGTGGAGGAACAGATGGATTACAATCTGTACACCTACACAGTGGAGCTATGGAGCTATAAGGCAGGTGTTTCTAATAAAGTGGCAGAAAATGGTTCATTAAGCCAGTTCAGTGCAGGAAGTATCAACAAGACGGTTCATCCAGCAGTGGGTTTGAGTTAGAAAGAGGTAAACATTTGTAATATTCAGTGTCTGTGTGTGTCAGGGGGCGGATCAGTGCACAGCCTGCAGACGGGTGTCGGGGAGCTGATGGGGAACACGCGCTTCTGGCACGGGAAAGATTACTGCAACTTCGTCTACAAGGACTGGGTCCAGCTGGAGAAACCGTTCGACGGTGAGACTCTCCTTTACCAGAATACGACTCTGTCATGTTTGTACACTGGAGTCTTTGCACTGTGTGTTTGTGTAAATATGTGTGTACATACACTACACATCCAAAAGTTTGTGGACACCACTTATTAGTGAATTCAGCTGCATTAAGGTGCCCCTGTTGCTGACACAGGTGTTCAAATACACACACAGCTTCTATAATCTCTATAGAAAAGCACTGACCAATAGAATGGGACGCTCTGGAGTAGCCTATGGTCTCCATGTCCAGTGCCCAGCGTGGGCTAGAGGGGTATAAAGCCCCCCAGCATTGGGCTGTGGAGCACTGGAACTGTGTTCTCTGGAGTGATGGAGCTCCATCCAGTACCTTTGGGATGAGTTGGAGTGTCCAGAACTGTCCAACATCAGTACCTGACCTCACTAATGCTCAATCAAATCCTCACAGCAATGTTCCAACATCGAGTGTAAAGCCTTCCCAGAAGAGTAGAGACTGTTAATGCAGCAAAACTCTTTTTTAATACCAGATGTCCACAAACCTTTGGCCGTGTAGTGTATGTATTATCTCTCTGGAACCACAAACTGAACACACGTAATTTAATGTAACGAGTTTCTTTACAGGCAAATTTGCTGATGGCCATCTTTTATATATACACCGATCAGGCATAAGATTACGGCTTAGTGTGTGTTGTGCTGGTACGAGTGGATCAGACACAGCAGTGCTGCTGGAGTTTTTAAACACTGTGTCCACTCACTGTCCACTCTATTAGACACTCCTACCTTGTCGGTCCACCTTGTAGATGTAAAGTCAGAGACGATAGCTCATCTGCTGCTGCACAGTTTGTGTTGGTCATCCTCCAGTCCTTCATCAGTGGTCACAGGACGCTGCCCACAGGACGCTGTTGGCTGGATATTTTTGGTTGGTGGACTATTCTCAGTCCAGCAGTGACACTGAGGTGTTTAAAAACTCCAGCAGCACTGCTGTGTCTGATCCGCTCAGACCAGCGCAACACACACTAACACACCACCACCACGTCAGTGTTACTGCAGTGCTGAGAATGATCCACCACCCAAATAGTACCTGCTCTGTGAGGGTCCATGGGGGTCCTGACCACTGAAGAACAGGGTAAAAGGGGGCTAACAAAGTATCAGAGAAACAGATGGACTACAGTCTGTAACTGTAGAACTACAAAGTGCACCTATATAGTAAGTGGAGCTGATAAAATGGACAATGAGCGCAGAAACAAGGAGGTGGTCAGAATGTTATGCCTGATTGGTGTAAGTTAATGTAACAAGATTTTATTCTGCCTCAATTTGAGTCTTGGTGCTGTAGCATTTCAGGTGGCTGTTAGCATGTGGCTAGACAGTTATCCCAGGTGGTTGCTAAGGTGTTAGGTAACGATGTCTTGGGTGGTGCTAAGCAGTTCATATGTTATTCCAGGTGGTTGCTCTGGTATCTCTGGACGAGCTGGTTTGACCTCCTGCTTTCTTCTTGTGCAGATTTCATTGACAGGTACACAACTCCCAGAATGCCCTGGCACGACATCGCCTCAGTGGTTCATGGGAAGGCTGCCAGAGACGTGGCCAGACACTTCATCCAGCGCTGGAACTTCACCAAGGTCTGTTATTTACAAACCCACACAAACACATAAACAATCCATCGGTGGGACTTTACCTGGGGCAGGTATTCATTGACCACTCGGATTGGGCCGGGCTGGGGGGTAGAGGGGTTGGCAAACACTATAAACAGTATATCACAAACTCATGCATATGTGCACATATACAGTACAATCCAGTACACATACAGTGAAAGTGTGAAAGTGTAAGAATGTAACCTTGATCTTCAGATGTTGTCAGCATTACTCCTGTAATGTGTCTCAGTCAGGCTGGTTTGAGTTCTGTAGGAATTCTCATCTGTATCTTGCTTTTATAAAAGATACGCCAGGCTTATCTTAGGAATGTGCCGTATTTATTTTCTTACTTCTCTCTCCAACCTGCATCTGGTTGTCTCTGAAGCTTTTTTCTCTCTCTCTCTCTCTCTCTCTCTCTCTCTCTCTCTCTCTCTCTCTCTCTCTCTCCTTTTCTCTTTATCTCTGTCTCTCAGATCATGAAGCCGAAGTACAGATCTCTGTCGTATCCTTACTTACTGCCCAAATCTCACAGCACAGCCAGCGAACTCACTTACCAAGTGCCAGACTGCGTGCAGACCAGAGTCCAGGTTAGACAAACACAGACACATACATGACCTTTACTTCTTATTCTGCTCTAACCTTATGGCATGTTTTACTCATTTTTATAATCAAAACAACAACAACAACAACAACAACAACAACAATAATAATAATAATAACTAGAAATGTGTATTTCCTGAAGAAAATGCAGTGTGATTGCGCTGCATAAGCAGTGCTAGGGTATTGCTAGATGGTTGCTATGGTACTTTAGGTGGTTGCTAGGGTGTTGCTAGATGGTTGCTATGGTATTTTAGGTGGTTGCAAGGGTGTTGCTAGATGGTTGCTATGGTATTTTAGGTGGTTGCTAGAGTGTTGCTATGGTATTTTAGGTGGTTGCTAGGGTATTGTTAGATGGTTGCTATGGTATCTAAGGTGGTTGCTAGGGTGTTGCTAAGTGATTGCGAAGGTATCTACCATGTTTTTTTTGGCTACTACTAAGTAGTTGCTAATGCATTTCAGGTGGTTGCTAGCATATGCATAGACATTGCTGTGTTATCCCATGTGGGTGCTAAGGTGTTGCTAGGTGATTGCTATGGTATCTAAGGTGGTTGCTGGAGTGCTGCTAAGCAGTTCGTACATTATTGCTGTGATATTCAAGGTGGTCACTATGGTATCTCTCATAGAGGGTAGGTGGTTGCTTGGGTGTTGCTACGTGGTTGCTGTGGTTTTGGAGGAGATTGCTAGGGTATTGCTAAGTGGTTCCTATGGCATCTCTAGAGTTGCAAAGGGGGTTGCTTGGCGGTTGCTGTCATGTTCCAGGTGGTTGCTAGGGTATTACTAAGTGGTGGCTACGATATCCCAAGTGGTTGCTAGGGTATTACTAGGTGGTGGCTATGATATCCAAGGTGGTTGCTAAGTTGTTGCTTTTTATAACACCTTACAAGCATAAAATACAAATACTTTGAAGTACGTGCAGTGTTTATAATGCTTCATACCTTCACAGGTATTACGGTCTGCAGCAGATTGGTCAGCAGGTATAAAGTACCATGAAGAGTCCATCCACAACGCCTACATCCAGGTCATCGCCAAGAGCAAGCATTTCATCTACATCGAGGTAACTTCTGTTGGCAAAGAACAAACGCTTCAAAGCTTTGAAATAACACATTCTATTTTTTTTTTCCTTAAAAGTGGCGTCTTTGCACGTAAATCAAAGAATAAATCTTTTCTAATGGGCAGTACTTTGTATCTGATACTGTGTAATCTGAAGACATGCTGGAACATTAGCCTGAAAATACACCTCCGTCCTCTGAGGATAATGCTAGAATCAGTGAGTTACCTGATCAGTTTTGGCTTTTTTCTTGTCTTTTCTTCCCTAGAACCAGTTTTTCATCAGCTGCGCTGACAACAAGCAGGTTTTCAACAAAGTCGGAGACGCCATTATTGAGAGAATCATCAGAGCTCACAAGTAAAAACTGCAGAAACATTATTTTACACACTGCAACATACAACACATACAGAAAGTACACTCTACACTCTGGAACAGTGGAACAAAGTGAGTGATAAGCTTATAATAATAATTTTCAACGTTTTACAAAGTGACAAAGTGCTTTACAAAAGACAGAAATAAATATAAATTGCAAAGATGAACAATTAAAAGAAAAAACTAAGAAAATAAAACAGTAAAAATGTAAATGCAAAAAGTAGAAGCAGTAAAACTAAAAAAAAGAATGGAAACATTTTAAAAGTGCAGGCGGTAAAATAATAAAATGTTAGTTAAAAGCTAATCTAAACAAGTGGGTCTTAACCTTCCTCTTAAACACCAATGCCAAATAAATGCCGAAATAAAGTCAAATTAAATTGCTCAATTCGGTTTACATTGAGAATCAGATACAGGCTATTATTGCACAGATATGTCTAATGTAGAAATCCGTGTTTCAGTAATGCTCCTTGTATTTTCACCATGGTAGTTAGCTAAGTTAGCGTCAGGCTAGCAAGGTTAGCTCAGTGCTCTATGTAATTTTTATGTCAGCTCTTTACTTTGTATGTCTAACACTTTACTTAAAGGCCTGAACTTGAAGTCTGTCCTTTGTTATTGTAGCGTTAGCCTGTTAGCCGGTTAGCCTGTATCTGATTACATTCCCTATCAGAAAGTTTAAGTCCGTTCTGATCATGTTCGTCGCGTCATAGTGAAAGATTATAACGTTCGACATGGCGGAGCAGAAACTGGTCTGCAGAGGAGACGAAGTTTATGCTCTAATATTTAAAAGACGGCAGTGGGACGGACGTCCAGCTTATGCGTCTCAGAATAGAGGTATACGGGCGAAAATCAGATCCCTTCAGGAACAGCACGCGAATTCTCATAGGTCTGGTTCACATATGCTGTGTCTGTGAGGCGCGAGTGACAAGGAAAGTCTTGTTAAGTGATCATGTTAAGTGACCAGTGCTTTTAAACAGGCTGTGCGTGCGAAGCGGCAGAGTCACAGACGCCGCACTGAAGCACAGCGGCGTTTAGGGAATAGACTTGGGGTAGACTTTTTACGTGCGCCAAGCATGTCTCGCAGCTAAATACACTGAAATAAACCATAAAAAAATGTTATATTAAACAAAAGGCCGTATAAAAATTTAAAAAGGCGTTTTTTACATAATTCATGACGAAATGCTAGTTAAACATTTCCCAGCTGGTCTACTAGGCTTGAAACTTTTGCCTAATCAGAAGTCAGAATGCTGAGGAGGATAAACAAACATACCGTGTATATGTATGTTTATAATTATATTTTTATTGAGCAGAGTGACTGAAGGTACCATTTATCCGTCTGGAAACAGGAATGTCTATATAACTTTCTCGCTTCTCCGCAGCTCAAACACCGTATGCATGAAAAGCCAGCGAGTCTGAGCTGTAGGGCTCACGCTGCCACATCACTCACGCCATGCAGAGGCAGCATGTGTGAATCAGGCGTTACAGAGATGGCGGAGCCTTCAGTCCGACGGCCACAGCTGCCCAGCAAAACACCAAAAATAACCACTCTGTGGTTTAGTTCCTGCTCTGGGTTCACAGGGAATAAACCTGAAGTTACTCACAGTGAGCCTGATGACCATGACTGACCTGTTATTTCAGCAGAGAATAATGTGTTTTTGAATAGATGGTGTCAGACATTGGATGTGTGTGGGACTGCGTGAACGGAACAGGGCAAATCGTTTCGGTTGCGGGCGGGAGAGGGAGAAATGATTCCGATTTTCTGCGGGAGCAGTCGGGAGCGGGATGAAATCTTGCGGGAGCGGGGCTGAAAATACAGTCCCGCGCAGACCTCTATCTCAGAACACGACGCCTTCCTCTCGGCCTTCTTTAATAAGGACATGTGAAGGACGTTTCCCTGAGTCTGACATCATTTTAAAGTAATTAAAAACACAAGCACTGCTCACTGCTGCTCATCTCACTCTGACTGGACTCACGTGATGCTGGTTGTCATGGTAACATCCACAATAAGCAGTTCTCTACGCATGCGCGTAATTCTGGACCAGATTACTTGTAAGCGAAGCATGTAAGCGAAGATTTTCATCAGATCGTTAAGTAGAGTGAGAATAAACACCTCAGTCTTAATCTTTAATCGGAATGTATTTAATCTGATTGGAGAAAATCTTTGCAGGTAAACACAGACAGTGAGTCGTAATGAAAACACAGTCTCATATCTGCTGAAGCTTAAAAAGTAATCACACTTTCTTCGCTAAAAACCGGAACGAACGACATATCCGTTCGTAAACTAAATGACGTGGATTGTCTTTAAAGTGATTTGTATAGTGTTTTATTGCTGCATGAAAACAGCGTGATGATGCTCTCCGTCACTCAGTGGTGCTGATGATGCTTTGCTGTGTGTCTGTGATCTCACAGAGAGAATAAGAAGTTCCGTGTGTACGTGGTGACCCCCCTGCTGCCCGGGTTTGAGGGGGATATCTCCACCGGGGGGGGCAGCGCTCTGCAGGCCGTCATGCACTTCAACTACAGGTACAAGCGCAGCAGCACTGAACACAGATCAGTCCATAACAAATCACCAAACACCTCCTGACTGCCCGTCTCAGACTGCTGAAACAGCCCATATCCTACAGTTTCACTGGACTTTAGGCCGACTTATGACGTGTTTGTGGTTTTATGTGCCAAAAATATCCACAGTTCATTTCTATATGATAATGTTTATAAGAGTTTGATGTAATTATGCATCAAAAATTTGGCAAAAAAGCGTAAAATTAAATAAAGTCTGTCAATTCTGTCAAAATTGAACACTTCGCAAATAATTTAAGTGGTAGTTTGATCAGCAGATCAACAGTGAAACACAAACACATTTACTGGTTTAATGAAATTAATAGAAATTACATAATCCAGTACTGAGTAACTCAGTATCTCTTGGTAATAAACTTTTACACCTGGTTTTAAAAGTGGTTTCTGTAAACATGTGTTGATTAGATCCTGCTGGTGTAGGTTCACTGCTGTTTCTCCTCTAAATGATGAGACACTAAAGCTTGTGTGTAAAAAGCGCCCCCTGCTGGAGAAACTTCCGACTGCTCAACCGGAGTTCCACACGCATGTGATTTACATATTAAAACAAGTGTTCCATCATTATAGCGGAGTTGCTCTGGAATTCAGCTCTAGCTGACTTTGGGAAACTGCCCATTTAGCCCACAGCAGTTTAGCCCCACCCATTAAGCCCATAGCAGTTTAGCCCCACCCATTCAGCCCTACAGCAGTTTAGCCCCACACATTTACACTGATGTTTTAAGGGGTGTTTCAGCCCAGACTGCTTTCTGAAAGAGTCACGATGCAGGACAGCTAATCAGAACAAAGCTCATTTGCATATGTCAGTCTTAAAGTCACAGTAACAAAACAGCCTGTTTAATAGTAAGGGATAAAGAGAGGTTGGAAAATTAATTATGGCTGTTTTTGGTTCTTGGAACATCATATATAAGTGGACCACAGGGGAAAAAATTAAAGTACAAACAAAATTAGGATACGGGCCCTTTAATTACTGACTAGGAGCTCACAATGAGATGAGGCTGGTCTGGAGAGCAGACGATGGTTCATTCTGTATTCGCTCCGTTTTGTGTTCATACCTGAAATAAACCACATCAGAGTTTGTTTGAAAGCGAACAGAGCACCCTCCTCAGAGCATCTCAGTGTGTTTATTTGGTACTCCAGGGTTCTAATGGCAGCGTTCTCACTCGTTCTACATAACCACACTAACGGAGCAGTCACACTAGGCTTCGCTTAATTCAGATCAAACCTGCTGAGTGTGAACACGACTAAATAAACGTGTTAGAAAAGCAGTTCAGTCCCAGTAAATGTGAACAGAGAGTGAGTCTGTGATTGAACTGGAGCAGATCTGATCAGTTTCTGTAGACCTGCTGACGATGTTTATCTGTGATGTTTCAGGACCATGAACAGAGGAGACAAGTCCATCATCTCCCAGTTAAAGAAAGAGAGTAAGAACATACCTGTCTGTCTACCTGTCTCTCTCTACCTCCCTCTGTCTCAGAGATTCAGATAATTTCATTCCTTTCTCTAAAGGTATCATAATGACAACTTTGATCTCTCTTTTCTTTTTTCTCTCTTTCATTTCTCTCTCTCTCTCCCTCTCCCTTCTCTCTCCCTCCTCTCCCCTCTCTCTATCTCTCTCTGTTCTCTCTCTCTCCTGTCTCCCTCCTCTCTCTCCCTCTCTCTCTGTTCTCTCTCCCTCCTCTCTCTCCCTCTCCCTCCGTGTTCTCTCTGTATCTCTCCCTCCTCTCTCTCCCTCTCCCCCTCTCTCTGTTCTCTCTCTGTGTATCTCTCCCTCCCCTTTCTCGCTCTTTTCTCATTCCCTCCCTCTCTCTCTCTGTCTCTCTGTCTATCCCCCCCTCTCCTCTCTGTTCTCTCTCTCACCCCTCTCTCTACCCTCTCTCTCTGACTCTTTATCTCTCCCCTCTCTCTATCTCTCTCTCTCTCTCTCTCTCTCTCTCTCTCTCTCTCTTCCTCTCTCCCTCTCTCTGTGCAGTGGGCGATCAGTGGATGAACTACATCTCCTTCTGTGGGTTGCGGACTCACGCTGAGTTAGAGGGCCGTTTGGTTACGGAGCTGATTTACGTCCACAGCAAGCTTCTCATCGCCGATGACAACACGGTCATCATCGGTCAGTGGCTGAGACCTCGCTTCTTTTTCAGTGTTTGAGGCCCATTTGTACAAAGAAACAAGTCAGGCCCTGACGCAGCCCTATACTTTAATTTTCTGTATTTATGAGCCCACTTCACCCTGAGATGCACTACAGTTCCCAGCACGCACTGCAACGTAGTGTGTGTGTTCTGACCACAGTCTGTGGGCCAGCGGTTACACAAAAAGAAAAGATGCCGTATTTACTTTTCTACATCATCTGAGCTCGACAGCTGCCCCTCTCACTCTGTGAAAACTGAGAATAATAGATTATTCATGTAATGTTTCAAGTTCTGCTACAAGTGCTTATATGTTGGTCAGTTCAGGTGTAGCAAAGTGTTATTTTACAATGAAATAAAAACACAGCCGTTCTCTGGCGCACAGATTTGTTGAGGTTTTTAATGTGAGCCTCTTGTGGTTGAGTTTGACACCACAGGTTTAAAGCACGGATGATTATCTTCATATTTCTCCATTTTACTGTCTTCTTCTTCCTTTTGTTGTTGTTGTTATTGTTGCTGCTGCTCTTGTCTTCACTGTTCTTTATTCTTCTTCTTTCTGCTTTTGTTGTTGTTGACTTGTTTTTCTTCTCATTTTCGTGTTGCAGTTATTGTCATTATCGTTCTTGGTCTTCTTGATCTTTTCTTCATTGTTCTTGTCGCTGTTCTGGTCACTTTCTTCTAACTCGTCTTTCTGTTGTTGTTTCTTCTTCATTTTCTTGTTTCTCTTGTTATCTGTGTTGTCATTGTGGCTGTTGTTCTTTTCCTTCTTCTACTTCGTGTCATTGCTGTCGTTGTCATTGTTGTCGTCCGTTTCTGGTTGATATAAGAACCTGAGTCTGAAATCTTTTTAGAAATCGAGCTCTTGATGCCGAACGTGGAAATTTGCTCCATTTTCTCTCTGAATTTGGTCTGGATGTAAATTTCCTGCAGAATGACCTTCAGTGTCTGATGCCGTCCATGGGCACCACTCTGCCCACTCTGCCCGCTCTGCCCACTCTGCCATCGTTTCAAAACACCACTGTCTTTGATCACATCACACAGAATGGTCAGTGAAGCCAGAAGCCCCTGAACTCCGTCTGTCCTTTAGAGCTGGTCTGTTACTGAATCGGCTGCTTCCTCTTCAAAGGCCTTTCTGCTCTTTTTACTGAACTGCCGTCCTCAGTACAGACGCTGTTTACCTGCACAGCTGATAGCAGAGATTATATCACTGTATTTCAGGACTCTCTGAGTCTGAGACGCTTTCTCAGATCTACCCTAATCTTACTGAGAAGTGCTCTTAACCCTGTAAAGACTGAGATTACAGGTGGCCGCCTGGACGAGTCTTATTTTAATTGTGAAGTACTGATTCAGCACAAACTCAGCTTTACAGCATCAGCTATTCAACACAAGTGTTCAGTGTTACAGCATGCAAAGGCAAAATAATACAAAACTGGATTTTTTTTTCATAATTTTTACTGAAAAAAAACCCAAAAACAAACAGAATTGAAGATTTGTATGAATAATCTGAACAGCAAACCACTTTATTAGCTTACAAAAGTCATGAGAAGTGTTGAAGATCTTGTCGTTTGAAAATTCTGGAGGCTTTCATTAGGCATGCTGGAACAGGCTATATAGGTTTGAAGTGCAGTGTGGGAGGAGCTCTAAAGCTGAATCTCTGCTTTGATTGGATCTACTGGATAATATCGTCATCACCATCATCATCATCACTTGGTAGCCAGTTAATTTTTTGATTGGCTACCAAATGATGACGACCTCAAACAGAAAAAGCAGCTGTACACACTGATCTAATGGACAGACTCTACAGGTGGACACGCAACACAACACTGCTTATGGCACAATGTTGGAAAGCTTGGCTTCTCTAGTTTAAGGGGGAATGATTCTCAAATTCCTGCATAATTATGTAGTTAAGATGTGGTTTGGTGTGAAATGCTTTGTTTTAGATAAACTTAGAGTCAGAACTGTTCACAGTGGTGGTGATAGGAACCAGACGTCCACCTCTAAAAGCTCCCTCACAGAAAGTTCCTACATGAAATGGTTATGAATTCACTGCCTGATGACTGAGACACTGTTTTATGATCGTTTAGAGAACTTAAATTCCATTCATGGTGGAGGGATACATGCAGGGCGCTGTGAGGCAAAATAGTCCCCAAAGAAAACTTATTATTTCAGATTTTCCACTATTTTCCATCATCAACATTCCATATAAACTCAGAAGACTCGTGTAGGTTCACTGGTGGTTCTGGATAGTAAATAAAATGTCTATATTTGTGTTGTAGTCATGGCGACCCCTGGTTCCTATCACCACCACTGTAAAGACATCTGAACCATTTCACACCAAACCACTCTGAATCTCTCTGTTTACATCTCACACACTGAGTTATGGGGGAATTTTGGAAAATCTGAGGGTGCAGTGTGAAGTTTGTTGATATCTCAAATGCTTGTGAAGTTATTTACGTGTCATGAACGGGTCGCTGGTGTTTATGTTGTGATGTTTATATACTCCAAATACCTTTTACCTAAGGAGTCCCACAGTTTTGGGCTCAGTAGTCATTCTGGAAGTGCAGTTTTGGAGCAGAAAGTTAGAGTAAACATTATTTTGGAAGCAGCCTTCATCCTGTACCCATCAGCTGGTCAGATCTCTTATATAAACAGAACCGGCACCATTAAAGCTAATCCAGCTCCAGCAGTGCTTTAACCCTCGTGAGTCGCTGGCGTGATCAAATCATGTGGCTGTTTCAAGACATAACAGCCTTAAAACATGTTGAGCATTTCTGTCAACTTCCGTCAACGTGCTGGTTTGAAACGCTAAGGATAATATAAATTTGATATAAAAAAAACATATTTATTCATCCATAAACATATGCAGAATGTGATGGGGCTGGTATTGCATTTATCATTTATCTTAATATCTTCATTTTTTGCCATATGAAGAAACAGAAAAATGGATCTTTTTTTAAATCCGATTTTGTGTGTGTTTTGGGTCCAATATGCTGATAATAGTATGTCAAAGTAAAAATACTCGTCAAGTCATAAAAGTGGTGATGTGCTGCTCTCTTCTCAGGTTCAGCCAACATCAATGACCGCAGCATGCTGGGAAAGAGGGACAGCGAAGTGGCCGTGATCGTGGAGGACATGCAGATGGTTCCCTCAGTGATGGACGGCCAGAAATACCAGGCGGGAAAATTTGCCCTGCAGTTCCGTCTGGAGTGCTTTAAGTACGTATCATAAGCTCTGTAAAATCAGCTCAGACTGATGATTGGTGCTGGAGGCAGAAGCGGACGCTGTCTGCTCAAACGGAGACCGATCACTGTGCTAATTCAGAGCAGTGGTTAGTTACATCTGCCTTTGTGGATTCATTCAGAGATACAGCACCTCCACGGTTAAGAAAGGAGTTCCCCTGTAGATGTAGCGCCCCCTTGATGTAGCTGGTTGTCATAGCTACGCCAAATAAGACTGCTGTGATGTGAAGAGAGAGAAGAGAGTGTCTCTCAGGAGACAGGAGAGTTTGGGAAAAACTACACCAGAGTTCAGATGATGAGATGAATCTGGCTGCTCAAAAAGGCTACGCTAACCTGGTAGCTAATATTAGCATATGAGTTTAGCAAATCTCTCTGACCAATCAGTAATCTGCACTGTTTTTACGTCACCTTCTGGTATCTACTCAGCTCGCTTGGAACCTCAACAGAGATGGTACCCAAAAAGTACCGGGTACCAGGTACCACCTTTTGCCTAATGGAAAACCAGAAAAGGCGAGTAGAGTCGAGTCGAGTCGGTACCATGCAGTGAAAAAAGTTTACTTGATTTAATTGAGCACTAAATGTTTATTAAACATGATTTATTAAAACTAAAACTACTAAGATGTGCTTAAATAGTGTAAATGAAGACTGCCTGGCTCTTAGCCTCCAGGTGATTTGGGTTTGATAGCCCTGGTGTAGAAGCTTCTCTGTGTGTAAATCAGGAGTTCAGTGCGAGTCAGAAAAGCTTCTGCTCAGACTTTACCCTGCGTGGTCTCCCATGTATCTGCTAGGCCTGGGCAATGTCTATAAAAGAATCTGCACAAAAGTTTCTAGCAAAAAAATGTAATTGTCTATTATATCACCAACTAATACACACAGCCTGCTGCAGCTTAGACTTAGACTTCAGTCTAGAACTCACATATTTAATAATATAATCCTGAGTAACATCTTTTGAAAAGTACTTCTAGTAGCAGTTACTGCAGACGTGTGCTCCTGAGCTTCTTCTGGTGTGGGTTCATGGTGACTTGCATGCTAATAGTGCTCCCTGCTGGAGAAACTTCAGACTGCAGCACCTTCCAAAGCCACACCCACCTGCTTTACATATTAAACAAGGTGTTTCCGTTGTTATAGTGAAGTCACTCTAGAATTCAGTTATATTTTCCTTTGGAAAAGCATGTAATTTTATATTTTCATAGTTTTTAAGACATCCAAACCAGACATCGGAACACTTTAGCTGTACGGAAAATACTGTGAGCTTTTCTCAGACAGTAAATGACACAGCTTTTTAAGGTTTTTCTCTTGGTAATAACCCAATATTTTAATAATAAAAATGAATAAAATATACATATGTACATATGATTTTAAATTATTAATCAAGTGGTATAACTGTAAATTAGTCCTCTCTAGTTTGCTGTCAGTTTCCCAAAATTATTATTATTAATGTTATTATTATTATTATTATTATTATTATTATTATTATATGAATGATTTCTGACTGAAATAAGTGGAAAAATTGTGTGGAAATTTCAGATTCTAATCTTTCAATCCAAACCACGTTAGTGTCTATAAGCAGAAGAGGAGGTATTTTATTAGAATCTGAATTTGATGAAAGTTATTGTTGTGTATCGTAAAACCATTGTTTACATTTTTGGCTTTTTTTGAAGAGAAGCAGTGTAGACTCCACCTCTCCGTACAGACTGGATCACAGTTACTCATTTAGCTGTGTAGTTGTGTAGTTATGCAGTCAGATGAATAGCAGGGCAGCAGTACCTCAGTCTGGGACGAGGCTCACACTGTTTAGACAGTAAGAAGAAGACGCTGATGTATGTATGTATGTATAGTGTATGTATAACGAATGCTGTTTGTTCTGCTCAGGACTGAGAGTTTTCTCTCTTTTCTAGAACCATCCTCGGTGCCTTTACGGACCCCAGCATAGATGTGAGCGACCCCATAAGTGACCGTTTCTATAAGGAGGTTTGGATGACCACTGCAGGACGCAATGCCACCATCTACGAGAAGGTGCGTATGTTTATTTACGCTCGCATAAAGGAGACAGAACTGTTCAGAAGTTTTAGTCCAGCCAGAAAAATGTTTATAAACTATTTATCTGGGCTGTAATAAGGCAGTAAGTAAGTAAGGCAGTAGGTCAGTGAGTAAGTAAGGCAGTAGGTCAGCAAGTAAGGCAGTAGGTCTGTAAGTAAGTACGGCAGTAAGCAAGGCAGTAGGTCAGTAAGTAAGGCAGTAATCAGTGAGTAAGTCAGTCAGTAAGTCAGTAAACCAGTCAGTAAGTATGTAAGTCAGTAACTAAATCAGTCAGTAAGTCAGTAAGTAAGGCAGTAGGTCAGTGAGTAAATCAGTCAGTAAGTCAGTAAGTAAGGCACTAAGTAAGTAAGGCAGTAGGTCAGTGAGTAAATCAGTCAGAAAGTCAGTAAGTAAGTAAGCAAGTAAGTAAGGCAGTAGGTCAGTAAGTAAGTAAGGCAGTAGGTCAGTATGTTAGTAAGAAAGTCAATAAGTCAGCAAGTCAGTAAGTAAGTAAGGCAGTAGGTCAGTAAGTAAATCAGTCAGAAAGTCAGTAAGTAAGAAGGTCAGTAAGTAAGTAAGGCAGTAGGTCAGTAAGTAAATCAGTCAGAAAGTCAGTAAGTAAGAAGGTCAGTAAGTAAGTAAGCAAGTAAGTAAGGCAGTAGATCAGTAAGTAAGTAAGTAAGGCAGTAGGTCAGTAAGTTAGTAAGAAAGTCAATAAGTCAGTAAGTAAGTAAGGCAGTAGGTCAGTAAGTAAGTAAGGCAGTAAGTCAGTCAGTAAGAAAGTCAGTAAGTCAGTCACTTAATAGGTCAGCAAGTATGTAAGGCAGTAAGTAAATCAGTCGGTCAGTCAGTCAGTCAGTAAGTAAATCACTCATAAGTCAGTAAGTAAATAAATAAGTAAATAAATACTTCTTAATAGCCTTTTAACTCAACAAGGAAAAATTGTAAAAAATGATATTTTTGCTGTAAAATGAAACATAAAATCTAAAATGTGCTGTAATTTTTGCACAGAGAGCTTTTTATCTTTAAAAACGTCCCCCGGGTGTAAAAATGATCAGATTAACAGTAACTGTGCATTAGACTGTGCAGGAGTCTGTTCTCTGGAGAGGCTGTGGGCTTTGAGGTGCCTGTGGATGATCCGGCCTCGTTTACCTGCAGGACCTCTATAAATAAATAAATCAAGCTTCCAGAACAAGTGAAACTAAACCACAGCAGGTTCTGTCGGAGCACCATGGTGCTGCACCGTGTCCGTGTTCTCCTCTGCTCACTGCCGCTGTGTTCCGCTGCAGGTGTTCCGCTGCCTGCCCTCCAGCCTGGTGAGGAACCTGCAGGAGCTGCTGAGCTTCCAGACTAAAGCCGGTCTGGATAAGGAGGATCCTGTGAAAGCTCAGGAAAGCCTGAAGAAGATCAGAGGCTTCCTGGTTCAGTTCCCACTGGACTTCCTGAGCGAGCAGAACCTGCTGCCCTCCGTCGGCACCAAGGAGGCCATGGTCCCCACCGAAATCTGGACCTGATTGAAACCTGTGTTGAAACCGTGGACGTAAACACTGAGTCCGTATGAGGCGAACTGGCGCCCCCTGCTGGACGAGCTGTGGAGAAACTGCATCTGATGAACTGAAATGAAGCGAATCGTATGAAGGCGGGCAGCTCACTGTGAAGTGCCTTAGGAGGGATTTAACCACCTCCCTATCATTTCATACCTGTGATTAAATTATATTTATGTTGTCAGTAGCAGCACATGCAGAATTTTACATCTTTACATTTTTAAAATAAACTGTAACAGTAATACAGCAAAAAAAAAACATATTAACAAATGAAAACTCAGAAAGTAGACAACATACCTAATATTCAGTATACATTAAGCTTTTATAGGACTGTTCAGCTTATTTCTAGACATTTTTACCTATGTTGTGAAAATTACCTTACAGCTTTGGCCATTTTTTTACATTCATACATTCTTAAAAAAGCACAATTACCTGCCAGTAAAATACATGCAGTCAGATTTTACTGGATATTTTTGCTTAAAATCAGTAAAAATGTCTAGAAATTGTTTGAATTATCTCAGAATATTAGATATATTAGTTCCCTACATTCAAGGTTTTCACCTGTTAATATGCCTTTTTTGCAGTACTGCTTCCATTATTCACTCAAACAAAGCAGCTCTGTGGTCAAAGAAAGGAAGCAGTTTTCTCGCTGAAGACTGATGATTCATAGCGACACTATGAAGACAGAAAGGGAAACAGAAGGTGCTCATTTTGCCCCAACAGAGTCGGTGTTTTTGGTCTGTCTGACCTGATTTCACACAGATCTGCGGGGACAGAGGAGCTCAGGGGGGAACAGAGATCTGTCTGGGATTTAAAGCAGTAGTTCAGCAAAAAAAACCCAGTTTCCCCCACTCAGCCGTAATGAGTCAATCAGTTCAGACTGTTCAGTTTCTGAAGTCTGATTCTTTAGCTTTAGCGCTGGAGCTATGAGGCTAATGTAGCTAACAAGCAATGGGAGCTGTACCTCAGCATTTAGCATGGCGCTAACTGCTGCTGTGGAGGTGCTCAGTGTCTCTAATAGACTGGATTCTGTGGTTTCTGAGACTATATGATGCACTGTTATCTATAAACATGGACTACAGTACATCAGCATAGCTACACTCAGTAGCAGCCACCTGGAAGACTGAATTTTTCTTTTTAAAAATACTTTGTAATTCAACAAAGCCAGTGAATGGCATATATATTAATATAATCATGGGCTTCAACAACAACAACGCAAGAGTGTGTGACGATTTAGGCATGCAGTTAGCACCGTGCTAATTGGTTGGTGTATTCCAGTTAGCACCATGCTAATTGGTGGCTGTATTGCAGTTAGGGCCATGCTAATTGGTGGTTGTATTACAGTTAGGACCATGCTGATTAGTGACTGTATTGCAGTTAGCACCATGCTAATTGGTGGCTGTATTGCAGTTAGCACCATGCTAATTGGTGGTTATATTGCAGTTAGCACCATGCTAATTGGTGGTTATATTGCAGTTAGGACCATGCTGATTCATGACTGTATTGCAGTTAGCACCACGCTAATTGGTGGCTGATTGTCTATATGCTTCCATTACTGATTGTTACTTATTATTACTATTAACAAGTAATGGAAGCATATAGCCCACCAGTTAGCATGGTGCTAACTTCATGCCTTCATGCAAATTTCAAAATATGGCATTAGCTGGCTTTGCTGATAAGCAGAAAATAAGAAAGCTAGCGAATTATGAATATATTATGAAGTTTGCATGAAATTGTTCTACTTGAACTAAATGAAGCGACCACATTCAGTCTTCCAGGTGGCTGCTACTGTGTTTAGCTATGCTGATGTACTGTGGTCCATGTTTATAGATAACAGTGAGTCACACAGTCAGAAACCACGTAATCAAGTCTATTATTGATTACTGAGCACCTCCACAGCACCAGTTAGCACTATGCTAATCACTGGGCAATAAGCTTCCATCCCTTGTTAGCTACATTAGCCTCGTAGCTCCAGCGCTAAAGCTAAAGAAGCGAACTCCAGACGCTGAACGTGTCTCGGCTGTTGGGCTACATTTGAGCTGAGATGTGGGGAAATGTGGTTTTATCTCTTTACATGATGGACTGTTGAGGCCAGTCAGCAGCTCTTAAGGCCTGATCACAGCGTACGGCAAGGTTTTCTTCTTCCTCTGGAGTTTTCCGTCTCTGAACGGCGGGGAGACTCAGCTGAGCACTGTTTTCTCTCCTCCTGAGCTCAGATGTCGCTGAAGGAGCCGTTTCCTGTAATTTACTCTCTCACTGCTGCACCTTTTCTGAACAGAGACTGTTCAGATCTTTAATAGCAGTTTTTGCACTGTCTTCTTATCTTTTCTGTTCATTTACAGCCTGTATGGAGCAGCAAGTGGATGACCGAGGGAAAATGAACGGGGAATAAATATGAAATGTGAATAAATCCTTGATTAAACCTGTTATTATATAATAATCAGCTGTTATCTGTGTGATTATCTCTGATCATATAAGGTTTACTGTTATTCCTAAAGAGGTAAGTCTGATAATCAGGCCTGTTCTTATTCATAATGGAAAGAAAGTCATGTTAACCCTTTCATGTCTACACTTTGAGATACCTTAGATGAACATCTAACAATACACATACGAATTTTGTATTATTTAAAGGGGAATTCCACCAATATTTTCAAAATTATAACTGCAAAACTACATAACTGAGTGTGTGAGATGTAAACAGAGTGATTCAGAGTGGTTTGGTGTGAAATGGTTGAGATGTCTTTACAGTGGTGGTGATAGGAACCAGGGGTCGCCATGACTACAACACAAATATAGACATTTTATTTACTATCCAGAACCACCAGTGAACCTACACGAGTCTTCTGAGTTCATATGGAATGTTGATGATGGAAAATAGTGGAAAATCTGAAATAATATTTTCTTTGGGGACTATTTTGCCTCACAGCGCCCTGCATGTATCCCTCCACCACGACTGGAGTTAAAGGCCAAAATCTTCTAAAAACTGTGTGTTTACATGCACTTAATAATCTGATGAATGCAGATTATTATAGATTTTGTAAGTAATCTGATACATTCACATATATTCCTATATATGTTCAAGGACCTGGCTCCACCTCTGATGGCTGGATGTTAATATTCTCATATATTCTTATATATTCTAATATATTCAAATATATTCAAGCACCTGGCTCCACCTCTGATGGTTAGATGTTAATATTCTCATATATTCTTATATATTCTAATATATTCAAATATATTCAAGCACCTGGCTCCACCTCTGATGGTTGGATGTTAATATTCTCATATATTCTAATATATTCATATATATTCAAGCACCTGGCTCCACCTCTGATGGTTGGATGTTAATATTCTCATATATTCTTATATATTCTAATATATTCAAATATATTCAAGCACCTGGCTCCACCTCTGATGGTTGGATGTTAATATTCTCATATATTCTTATATATTCTAAAATATTCATATATATTCAAGCATCTGGCTCCACCTCTGACAGCTGAATATTTATATTCTGATATATTCCTGTTTATTAAAAAAAGACATAACTTTTTCTGATGGCAGAATGTTTGGTTCTCAAATATTCTATCATATATTTTTATATATATATATGTGTGTGTGTATATAAAATGTATAATGATGTTTGGATAAAGATATTTGTATATATATAGTGTTATTTATCCAAATATCTGTACTCCAGGGCCGAGCCACATGTCCCTGTACCTCCTGCCCCAGGCCGGTGCCTCCCTCACAGACTGGTCATTCGGGGACGGAACCCCTCAGTTTGACTTGAATGGAGAATATTTTACATTCTACTCTCACGGCCTGGACGCACCAATGTGGGACTTCTGGCCTGCAGTCCAGGTTTGTGTGAAGACTGAACACAATATATAATAATGACAAGGAAAAAGACCAGAAAATCTGAAAAAAAACAAAAAAAAAATTAATTACATACAAAAAAAGTTTGTTGACAAACAGATTTTGATACAGGTCCACACAGAAGATGAAAATGTTACAGCAAACATTTCAGGCTGAAATGGTAAAAATACATAGGTTTGATACACACTTGATATACAGGGTCATGTTTTTGTTTTTGATTACATTCTATGAAGACCAGGCAATATAATCACTCTCTAAATGATATCACCGTACTCTGTTTCTGAGTTTATGATGGTCAGCACTTCTAGAACATTGAACAAGTGCTTGGATCATCAAATAAGATATAGAGTTATAGAGAGCATGTAAACAACAACAACCACCAGCGTAGAGTTACTGCATACAGTAACAGGCAGCTGACTGGACAGCAGCCTATTATACTGTACACTGTAGTCCATCTGTTTCTCTGCATACTTTGTAAGCCGAGAAACAGGTAGGAGTGACTAATAGAGTGGACAGTGAGTGGACACAGTGTATAAAAACTCCAGCAGCACTGCTGTGTCTGATCCACTCGTACCAGCACAACACACACTAACACACCACCACCACGTCAGTGTTACTGCAGTGCTGAGAATGATCCACCACCCAAATAGTTCCTGCTCTGTGAGGGTCCATGGGGGTCCTGACCACTGAAGAACAGGGTAAAAGGGGGCTAACAAAGTATCAGAGAAACAGATGGACTACAGTCTGTAACTGTAGAACTACAAAGTGCACCTATACAGTAAGTGGAGCTGATAAAATGGACAATGAGTGTAGAAACAAGGAGGTGGTCAGAATGTTATGCCGGATCGGTGTACATTAAAATATATGTTTTGGAAAAAATTAGACAGATAGAACTTTATTGATCCCAAAGAGAAATTGCAGTGTTTCAGTACAAAGACATATAATTGCACATAAACTTTAGTAAACTATGCAGAAAATAAAACATAGAAATAAAAATAGACATAAGAAAGTACAAGAGAGTAGAAATAAAGTATATCTATTTGCATATTTACATAGCACATAAGACAAATGTATTGTATTTACATGAGTGGTATGAGGTAGTCTATATTACGTTTAAGTCCTGGTCCTGTTACCTGTCTGGAACATCACCTCTTTTCCTCCGACGCCTGCGGCCTCCAGATTCACTAATTCCCCTTACCTGCTTCACCCATGGGTGCTGGGTGATGAAGCCATGAGTGAGAGAGAATAATGAAGAAAAACCTTTTTTTTTTTATTTCTGATTTTAACGTGTACTTTCTATGCATTATTTTTCAGTATATTTCAGCATTTAACCTGTTAAGCAGCAAAGCTTAATACTCAGCTAATCCTAAA